AGCCGACTTGTTTAGCCGAAGGCTTCCGGTCAAACATCAATGCCATTTGGTACTCCGTCATGTCACGTTCGTTCGTTCACGCGCAACTCCTAGCTAGTTAAGCAATCATCTTGCACTCTGATTCGGTCCTAAATATAACTCGTAATTTGGACGATCAATTCTAGTGTTTCACTTTGCTTTTGGTTTACGCGGAACGAATACTATAGAAGTTGTGGGTATTAGATCTTGCGTTAGTATACTTCGTACTATCCGTGAACGTCAATACCATCAGCCTCTCTACTATAATCCCAAGGAGTCTCCAACTTCTTCTTATACGTATCTTGTTATTGTTCTTTCAATTGTGTATTATCCATAATTGTATTTGTTACGATTTTGCAGTTTGCCAGTACATTCTCCCCCCGAAATAGCTTTAAATCACTTGGCGGCATAGCACTCGCCCAAATATACGCTGTTTATTGATTGACTATAACCATCAGTATAAAACGGGATGAAGTTTGGGTTGGCGTTCAACCTTGACAGTTACCTTAGTGAAGGGTGTACAGATTCAGATTTCAGATTGATTGGTTGAGGATAGAAGGCTTGGAGACTACGATAATCTTTTTCTAGTGAATTTCTGTGGTTGTCCAAACCCTTCTTGAATGAATCAGCTGTGGTTGCAGATACCACTTCTTCTGGGAGTCGGTTCCAATATTTAATGACTCGGTGTGACAAGCGATATGATTTCTTCTTAGCTTTTGAACTCTCCTGCTATGTCCTCTAGAGTGTTCCTATGTATTAGGGAGGAAAAGATGAATGGGTCAGGTCTGTAGTCATTATTTGAAATTTTAAACATCGTGACTAAATATCCTTTCTGCCTTTGGTATGACAGGGAGAAGAGATTTAAACTGTCTGGTCTTTCCTCGTATGATAAGTTAGACATGCCGAAAGTCATACGTGTTGCCTTCCTTTGAATCCTTTCTAGAATATGTGAGTCCCCTTTAAGACAAGGAATGGCTGCATGGATACAGTTTTCTAGTCGTGACCACACCAGGGGTGTAAATATGGCATTTATACCAACCTGTTCCAATTACTTGTACAATAATCTGGCAGTTTAAAACATTACTGATTAGTGATACTTCATGATTGTAATATATAACATAACGGATCGTGCTTGTAAAAATGGCATGCATTTCTTGTAAACACCAGTTTATACGAAACACAAATTATTGTCATTATTAAAAACTCAATTGACATGGCTAGGATATATCTCCCTCCAGCTCATATGCAGAATTATCTAGAAAAGCGGTAGTAATGCAGGAATTCGTGGCTGCAACTAGCGGCTTTAAAGGCACACCGGGCAATTCGTGTGACTTGTACTAGAATTGTTCACGAATGAAATAAGTTAGCGGTAGCAACCATAGGACGTATTTGGGCTTAAAGGTTTGCGAAAAGATATTTATGCCTAATTCCCTGCACGAGTAAGGCAGCGGATAGTCTGGCACCTCCGCAGGAACAAGATGAATACAATTAACTGACCCAGTCAGCTCAACAGGGTTTATCTAATTAGCATTTGTCAGGGTTAATTGTCCAGAGACTTGGCGCGTAACCGAACGCTTCACTTTTTCATCAACAACTGCCTTCGTTTCATAGTGAAGATCAGGTGGCCAGAAAGAATAAGGGCCTAGGGGAGAACCAACCCAAAGCCTACTGCCTCACACATCTGCTAAAGGAGTAGGGTGTTGGGTGAAATCGCCTCTCAGGTACAATTCTTAGTGGAACCTGAATGGGAGCGGACAGTTGGAGTTCAAGGCTGGCATGGAAGAGACCGTATGAGCAGGAGGTGTGGTCTTGTGAGCAATCGTGGATCCAGATGAAGAGGACAGGAGAGAACAGGGCGAGGTGATGTGCTGTTGGGACCCTATTTTCCTCTCGGAACTCAAGGGAATAGTAATGATAAGGTTAATTTTATACAAATTTTTTTATATATTTTATTATAGCTTGATTCCACACATTATTTTGGCACAAGTATGAAACTTTCGGCATGTGATATCGGTAGCATTTAGCAGGCCGACCATAGATATCAGGTGTGTGTCGGCTGGGTATCGAACCTCGGACCATGTGCATAGTCGGCGAGAGTCACAACCGCTGTGCCACCGACGCACCATACTTCAGAAGTCCCACTGAAAGGAATTGTAGTAACTTTATATTGTCGGCCTCGTCTGAATTAATGATTAACTTGTTGTGCCTGTAAGTGTGTAAGAAAGGCAGAGAATGGTAAGCCTGATATGATGGCCACTAAAATGTCTGGGCGGAGTTCATAGGCCTGAAACATTTTGGACAAATTCAAATGAAGCAGAATGAACTATAACGATTATTCCCCAGATATCACAGGGATGAATCGGTATATAGTGTAAATCTCTCACAAAGTTCGGGGAAATCAACGATGTTAAGGAGACTGCTGGGGAAGCCACCAGTGTACGGTCGCGGGTATCATGAATGTAATGTCAACTTGTGTCAAATTTCTCAGTCTTTGCATGGTCCAGTGTTGTTCAAATTATCTTTTTGGACCATCTGAAGGACGGCCATGAGCTTCTCGATGAATGGACTATTCCGTCCTCGGACGATATGTCGAAATATTCTGAGGTAGTTTGTAGCCTCGTTAGGTCAAATGGAGTAAATTGATAGATACTAGCAGACCTCCCATCACAGTGTGATGTGTGATACAATGCTTTGGTTTACTTTTTTAATTTATACAATGTCCAGACTTGGGGAAATATTTTAGAAACTCAAGTATGGTGAATGGACGCTTAGATAAGACTCTACGACAAGATTCATATCGGTATGGTCAGTGACAACTCATGAAACTGCTTTCGCTGTTCATCTCCACAGTAGCTCATCTGCTGTTTCACCATCCTCATCTCCTCTGTTAGCTTCCAGCTGTTCACTTCTTTTCCTGCTTCTTCTTTCCTGAGATATATAATTTTCCTTCCAGTTTGCTCACAAGGAGTTCAATCTTTCCTCCCTACAGCTTTCCTGTATGATATTGTTCAATATATACGAAGACCCCATCGTAATTTTGTTGAAGGTCTCTCCTAAGCTTATACCATGTGGTCTTCCAGGGTTGAATTAGAATTTTGTTTTCCATCCGAGTACTTTGGGAGCTTTTGATTTAACGGTGAAGATTCGTCTACTAGATACTGATATGAAGCTACTTCTTATACTTTTCTCGACCTTGTGTCCGACGTGCTGCGTCTCTAATTTGATGTGACGGAAATCTGTCTATCCATACTCCTCCTTCTCTAGGTTCGGATTAAATCTCACTGTCATGACCCAGGATGGGAACGCCTCCCGCCATGTGTGCCCTTTTGATGCTGTTAGTAACACCATGGAAGCCGTGCTTTCGCTGTCGTCTGTGTAACCGGATTAGGTTATTGACCATCCAGTCAGCAGTTTTGCGAGTCTCTTCCTAATTTGCTTGATATCACAGATTCCTAACACTTCCGCTTCAGATATTCTCATTTTGCACAACAAAATCGGTCTTGTTAGCCGCAAATATTAAGAGGACATTCTATGTCTCCACACTTATTAACGTTTACACAGTGTGAGGACACACTGACGACAAACTCCTCGAAAGTATTTAGATACCAGCGTCATTCGGCCTAGAATTGAACTGTCCTTCCAATTCCACCGGAGAGTTTTTCCCGTCCTTTGAAACTTTTGAGATGATGGAGTTGTTCCCCTTGGGGTGGATGGTAGTTTCATTTTCCATCTTCTGACTCTACTGCTTTTAATACCGGCTACTAACATAGACATGGTTGCCTACTGGTAGTTAATCAGTGTCTTTACAAGAATACAGGCATTGAAAATAATACAACAACAACAACAAATTCACACCTCTCATGCGCTAATAGCTCCCTAAAACGCAGCTTGTAGGCGGAACAGTGTAACTTTTATGACGTACACATAAATCTCCTTAGATCTTCACACATATCTGTGAGCACAAACTTTGTGGTTGGCTAATAGTCACGAAGTAAAATCAAAAAGTAATCATAAGGTTTAGGAAACCTGTATTACAAGACATTTTCAAGTAGAGCAAGCGCAACTGCAACAGCTTTTGTGTAAGAAGAACAGAACATGCATTCAGCTGTGGAGTAAGGATTAATTACAACAGAGGAGGATGAGGCGAATCACCACAGCATCACCTGGGACAAATATATCGCCCTCAACTGTTGCCGGATGTTCAATCGGCTGGAAGTCATAGAATTAAGTTTCTTGCCTGTTGGCAATAATTAGCAGGGTGTATCTGCAGTCTTGACTGGCAGAATTATCTCAGCATCAAACAAAGGACTAGAAGCATGACATTAATTACTATATATTTTTTTGGGGGGGGTCTGAACAAGCAAACTACGCAGAGGCGTCAGAGAGGCCTTTCAGAAGTTGAGTGATGCACACCGGAAAGTATTCAAATGATGGGTACATGACTGGTACTCAGTTTGATTGATATTCTGTGTTATGAGAGACTCAGAAGACTGATTCTCCTCCAACAGTGGAGATATAATCAGGATGCCCATAATCCTCGGCAGTGGCTTGGGGATAATTTGTCTTTTCTCCTTATTTTCCACCTAGTCGCGATATCTCAGAATACATAGGGCGAAGTATGACGTTATGGAGTACTAGTTATTCCTGTCTCCCAAAAGAAATGGTTTCTAGGTTCTCAAATGACTCACTGAAGGCAGGGTCATCACAGTTTCGAAGCCTACTACTGACAATTGGATGCGTTCATCTTAGGATGTTTTCTCTATTACCTTTCAAACATTGAAGTATGAAATGTCATTATTTATATTTATTGTAATTTCAGGTAGTTTGCAGTAAGCTGATGAGAACCTGTGAAACAGAATGATATCATTTTATACTGCAAATCTGGTCTTTCTTTCTCTATCGAAATCAAAAAACTGTTCAAGACGCGGGACTTTTAAAGCTAAACGGAACTACGCGTGTTTTTTAATGGATGATGCACTTAGGGAGTTGGAAGAGGCTGCTACAGCTCAGCTGGTAATTTTTAAAAGCCCTTACATTTTATATGCTAGTTGGCAGTGAAGACAGAGGACAGGAGACAAGCAGAGGCGAAAATTCTGCAGTTCCGTTCTCTTGCTGAGCCTTATGAACTGTGTACACTTATTTTATGTAAGTAGATATTTGTTTTTATATTGGTTAAAGATGGATCCGTGGTAAATACACAGTTATTTCGTAGTTTACATTGTAGATTTCATTTGCACATGACCTGCTAAAGTTGTGAAAACGTGCTTTTATAAGCCCCATCTTTAAAGAGGGGAACAGGCAGTTAGTATCTTACTACTGGCCTGTAAGTCTGACCTGCATTATAGCAAAGGTATTAGAGACACTCATAAAGGATCAGCTCTTAGCTCATATGGAGAAAAATGGCTTACTGGCAGTGGAACAGCATGGATTCTGATCAGGACGATCCTGCCTGACAAACTTACTGTTAGCTAGGGAAGTTTGGGTCGAAGCCAGGGATAAGAACCATCTACTGGACGTTGTCTTTATCGGTCTTAGTAAAGCATTTAGGTCTTCTTAGCAAACTTAAACGTTTTGTATTAGACCAACGCTTATGTTAGTGGTTCAGCGACTACCTGAAGGATAGAAGGCAGAATGTAAAGGTTAATGGTATACTGTCAAGGTGGAAAGCAGTGCTAAGTGGAGTACCTCAGGGAACTGTACTTGGTAAATGAAGTGCCGAAAATTCTCACCTCATCTTCCTTACTATTTGCGGACGATATTAAGATATGGAAAACCGTGAATAGTAACGATGATAGGTTGGTACTACAAAACGATCCAGACAAATTAACCGAATGGGCTAACCTTTGGAGTCTGGAAATTAATTTCAAGAAAAACGCGGTAATGCACCTAGGTCAGAAGTCTTACACGTCGTACTCCATGGGGGACACAGAACTGCCAGATGTTAGGGAACAAAAGGACTTAGGAATTATTGTTAGACATGACTTAAAAACAACGGTAAACTGTAATCGAGCCGCAGCTAAGGCTTTTCGAATGCTATGGGCACTTCGAAGGGCTTTCAAACGATTAGACGAGGGTATTTTCCAAGTACTCTATGCAACATATGTCAGAACTCATCTAGAGTACTGCATACAAGCGGCGAGTTCATGCTTCAAAAAGCAGGCACATATCCTGGAAAGAGAACAGAGGGTAGGAACCAAATTAGTTAGTGGAATCTCACGCCTTCCTTATGATAAGAGGATGAAGCATTTAAATCTCTTCCCATTATCATACCGAAGGAGGAAAGGCGACTTAATTTTGGCTTACCGTATATTAAAGGGTTGTCTAGGAATTGACCTTTCAAAGGTTTTCTCTCCCTCAATGATACATTTACGAGGTCACCACAAGGTGCTCAAACCGAGGTCGAACAAAATACCTGTGGAATTTAGATTCTCTCAGAGTGGTCAACAATTTGAATTCCTTATGTGATTCAGTGGTAACAGCTCCATCGGTGAAAGCTTTCAAAGAGAAATTAGGTCTCTGCAGATATATATCGCAACGATTAACGTAGGCAATGAGAGCCTTCTATCCCTATAATCTGAATCTGAATATCATTATTAGTAACACAGGTTCTGCCAGAGGATGACCGTAAACTAAAAACTAGCATATTGCTTTTTAAAACACCAAATAAGTCCGATTAACTGGTCATGAGGAACCACACTTGAACCACTGATGATGTAAGACAGTAGCAGTTTATTACGGTGTGAACGTTTTTTGATGGGCGGTTTTAAGGGTCACTTCCGATTAGAGTCTAGAGGGTGGGCCTCAAGAGTGGTAATCACTTCCTAGTAGGTAATAGGGATATAATTAAACGGACAGATGCCACTTGTGGAAGATGGTTCGAAGTTTTTATTACTCGTTTGGAGAATCAGTACCCCACTGGAATTAAATATGCAGTCAAAAAACTGACTTAAATGCTGGGCCTTTCGTAGGACTGGTAATAGAGTTAGAAATTGCAGTGTGCATCAAAAAGCGGCCAACAAGTCTATCGCGTTTTTAACTCCAGACATCATTGATTACTTCTTGTTTTAAAGTCACTCGGAATTCAAACTGGCTTCGAGTATGGGTTGGTAGAGTAAACGTTCTAGAACTCAGATAAAAGTGAGTGGGCATCTCCCCCTAATTTCTTTGTATGTATTACGTTAAAAGTCGTAAAAACCTCATGTGTAAGTCAGTTGCAGTCTTCATTAGACTTACGTTTATCCGCTTATTACTGTTTTCTGTGCAATCACTCTGAGGAAACACAAAATGACGGAAAAGTTAGATATCACCACATATGAACATGTATGAGATAGGTAAAATAGTAAATCAAGATCTTTAAAGTTGGATTCAAGGTGATTTGATTAATCCCGGGGGAGGTTTCATGTCTACCTGACACTAGTTAGATAATCATTGTAAGTCATACAACACTGGACAACTGTTTTGTCTTGAATCTGTTTTACGATGCACACTCAGGGTCTTCGGCATGTTACCATTCAGCCACTGAGTTAGTATCTAATAGCTTATTAGTTATAGCTTCTGTTAAATTATGACGCTCTGTGAAAAGTTCTGCACTGATTGTTTAAACAGTCAGTCTTGTAAATTGTGATACATCTGAATGCTATCGCGGTGCTGTGCTCTGCTAAACAGTCGGTTCTGTTTGCTTTTGAAACATTATCGTATATAATAAAAAAATGTAAGATAACTTGAAGAATATTTCCACCACTTTCTTCACGTCGTTAGAACTCATTCGACACGGATTTTTCTTCTGCAGCTGTATTTAGAACTGACAAAGTTGCCTGTAGAAAAAGGGACCTGAACCTTCTGGCTGAGATTCAAGTTCTTAAATTAGTGCGCTACATCTTCCGTAACAACGAGATTAGCATGAGAAATGCAGGAGTTAGTTTCAAGTATGACGATTATATCGGCAAGGCTTTAGATTACTGGATGATGTTATTACGCATGCTAGGACACGCTTTTTCTTAGTGTGCTATGTTAGCGAATGTAGGATTTGAATAAAATGAAAATAAAGATGATGGATAGGAAACGTGATGTTAGTCTATGAGATTATTAGCTGTCAGTCTGTGCACCGTGGGTATATCTTATGGGGCACCTACGGCTGAAGACAATAAGCGATGTGACTGCAATTCACGAGTTGTTTTTCGGATAAATCCATACCTTCGCATCATCTTCATTGTCTTGAGACCTTTTTAGGTACCTGTACATTAATAAATTTGTTTTTAAAATAATTTGGAAAAACATCGGTTGATATGGTTGCAATGTATGTTTAGTGCATAAAGTCATCTTTCATCCCAATGTAAAATGTTAGTTGAGTTAAGATCAATTCAGCGATAAGTTAAAATTAAGCAACGTCCTTCATGTTTGACTGTTGCTCTTAGTTGCGTTGGCAATTTTAGACAATCGGCAGCACGAAACCTAGGTCCAGGGCTTCCTGCCGATTGCCTCTAGCCATCTAGTACCGAAAATTCAAAGTGCACTTTGATGGTGAACCATCTAGAATGGTGGTCGCATTTCAAACTTGACTGATAGCATTCGGTCTGCACCAAACAAGGGACTAGAGACATTACACTAATTACTAACTAGTGTCCAATCGAAGTATCCAATCCAGTTCTACAGAAGGTCAATCGTGAGGCCGAATAGCTCAGTGGTAGCGTCTCTGACTGTAGGCAGCACTGGGTGATGCGCTTTAGAATTTTCGAAGGGGGACATTAGTTCCTTCAAGGTTATATATACGCCTTGCTGACTGGTCAGTGTCAAAAAACATGAAACCTGGGTTGAAGGCTTCTTATGACCGATTACCTCCAGCTATCCAATATCAACTATTTTGACTTAATTGTAATGTGGCGTAGCGTAAAAGTATCGACTTCTATTTCAATAATAGGTTTTATGGATACTCTATTGAAATTTAACCATGACGTGTACTTGAAACAGTTCTTGTTTTTCTTATACAAAAAGTATTGTATCTGTTTCGTCAGGATAAACTGATAAAAGTGTAGGTCCAATATATGAAGTCTATGAAGACTATTTGTTTGAGTTATGTAGGGAGAGGTGTGGACTGTCTAACTGAGGTCCTCAGGATGGATTGTTGGGGAATATTTGTGAAATGACTCAGAATCGTTCTCAGTGATGCAAATATATATTCAACCCACTTGTGGTCTTCTAGATTCTGATGATCCTAACTCGTCTTCATTTTCGCGAACATTTTTGTTTTCTGGTTTCATTGCATTTCTTTTCCTTAGTTTTTGGTATAATTCTGTAAAGTCTGGCGGCTTCAGGTGATGAACTTCTGCTTGAGGTTCTACGGTAGTAAGCCAGTTTTATAGGGATTTCGCACCGGTCAAATTGTTAGTGAAATCTGGTTGTGTAGTGTAAAATTGTTTTGGCTGATGCGAATAGTTGAAGTTTTTAGCCAACGAAGGTAACGTACACTATCCTATTTTATGATATGAAAGTCCAGTTCAGGTTTCCGTTAATGACTCGCTTTTTTAAATTTCTCCTTTTCCGTTCAAGCTCGTTCTACCAATGACTGTCTTCTGTATGAAGCTGGTCGTTGCTTGTCGCATGCAGTCGTTCGTGAATGGAATTCAATTTTCGCATCTTCATGGGAGAATACAGAGAACTGCAAAGCATTACAACTTCTTACTATTATATTAGAATGGTCACAAAATCGAGGATTTGAGGTATCTATCTGTCCATGTTTTTTCTTATGCCTGTTTCTTAGTGTAATATATTTTGTTTCTGAATGTAATGGTATACCTCTCAATGAAATTTAGTTCATAGGATTTCATCATGAGCTGATATTGGTTAGGGAACCACTGGAGAATTAACCAGAGAGTAATGGGCTGCGAACTGTTTCGTCAGCCTAGTTTGGGACTCATTGGCAGTACGCACCAACCGCCAGGGTTCAAACCCCGGGACCTTCTGGTTACAAGGCGAGCTCGAAGACTATTCATCAGCCACTGAGACCTGATCTAGTGATCCGTGAATTCCAGCTTCTGCCAATTCATGGGCTATTAGATTGAGTTCCAGGAACTGAATCGGTCGGTCGGTCGGTATTCGACATAGAACTTTGCACATATGTGCGGCAGTTCAAGTCGCCATACTTCACTCAGCACACAAAGCAAGAGAAGAAAGTAGGAGAAATGCATAATATAGACAGTAAACAGAGGTGTGAGACAAAGGAATAGTAATAGCGGAGAACAAAACAGTTTAATTGGAAATCATAAGTCACAAGAAGTGGATGCATCTGCGCCACTGAGAACGATTTTGAGCCATGTCACCAATTGTTTCCAACCATTGGTTTTTACCGTCCCGAGGACCCCAACCAGTCAGGAAGTCTACATCTCCCTACGTGACTTAGACTAACTGTTGTGGATTTCATTGACTGGTGCCATGTTTTCGTTTGACCGCTGCTAGCTCTTTTCCAGCCTGACCCTATATCAGCTAACATTTCCCATTGTCGAGGAAGGCGATGACTAGGCATACGTAGCACATGTCCTAGCCATCTCAGTCGATGTAATTTCACAGTTTCGTCGATTGATTTCCCCTCCTTACCTAGCACTCGACGCCTAACCTGAATATTGCTCACCTTATTATACCACTTCACGAGGGAGATAGAACGCAGAAACCTATGACCGAAGACAGCTAGTCTTTTCATGTCTTCTGCTCTCAATGGCCATAAAGGAGGACGGAGCGGGCTGTTGAGCAGTACACACGCCCTTGGTCGATAGTCGGAACTGATGGTCTACGAGGTCGCCTTGTAACCGGAATATCCTGCATTTGAACCTCGGCAGGGGGTGCGTACTGATAAAGAGTTCCAAGCTAGCACGAAACGTCTGGTTATCGAGTACTCCCTGGCTGGTTTTCCAGTGGTTCTTTAAACGACTTCAGTTCATAATCAAATCCTGTAATCCATTGAATCCCTGCAAACCCCGGTTGTCAGTTATTTTAATGTTTTAATTTTTTAACATGATAATTTTCCTCATATTTAATTGTCTGGGTAGCTGAGTTATGTAAGCTGTTAATTGTTTTAAAATTCGTTGCCATTTCTAGTGGAACAGAGGGCTTCAAGCCTCGGCTTTGAAGTTCCAGTAGCACTGGTGTCATTTTTACGGGTTGGGGTTGCTAGACTCATACACCCAGCCTTCCTTTTTTATCAGGTTTACTGCCAGCTTATCAAGGTTTAGGAGTTCGTCGGCTGGTGTTTGAGTCCCGAACCACTTGGGGGTGTGGTTGGTGAGCATTCTACCACTGAACCGCCGACGCAGTGGACTTTGAGGGACAGTAAAACGCCACAGATTTGTTTTATGTAGAACGTGAAACTATGTATTACTATTGAGTGTGAACAACAACTGCCTTCGCTCTATAGTTATCAAATGAGATGGCCAGAAAGAATTAGCAACAAGGAGCTCTGGGGACGAACCGATCAAGAACCTATTGCTCAGTAGATATGTAGGAGAAAATGGAAACGGCCCGAACACTCACTGAGAAGACCATCGGGTAACATAGCACCCGAGGTCATCGCTTCAGTGGAACCTGAATGACAAACGGCAAGTTGGAGGAGACCGTGTAAAGTGGAGGAGATGACAAATTACGGGCAATCATTGAACCGGCTAAGGAGACCTGCGGAGAACAAGATATTAAGTGGAAATGTGCTGTTGAAGCCCTATGTTCCACTTGAAAACCAATAGAATAATAATATTGATACTGATAAATTGCGTGTGAACAAGTAGGAATGTCTCAGAAGAAAAGCTAGAAAGTGTTCCTCATAATTTAACACCCAAATTAAATTGTCTGAATAATTTTATATTTATTATCAGAATGTGTAATCTAAATCTGATTCGGGTAAAAATAAGGGAAAATAAAATATCGGACCCCTCATTTCAGTTTAACATTTAATCATCGTTGACGTATTTATATGACACATTTATAAAACTCTTAAACTCATAGCTTATTACCGATAAGATCGTCATCTATGCTCTGTTCAATGACATTTTGAACACAAGTTACTTCGTTCCATTCAATTGCTGACGTTAAGCGTGGAGGGAAATGAAGTCTGTAATTGTTATTCTTAGCTATGTGAGTAATTGTTGTGCATCAGTAGTTCAGCGGTAAAATGTTCGCCAACCAAGCATATGGTCCGTGGTTCGATTGCCAGCCGACGCACACCTTTACCTCCGTGAGTGGTTGTAAGCCGGGTAAAGAGAAAAGTTTTTGCGTGAGGCTAGCAACCTCATCCCCCTGTAGAAAATACCACTTTTATTGAAACTTAAAATCTGAGGCTTGAAGCCCTATGTCCCACTCGGAAACCAAAGGAATAAAATCAATAATATGTGGGTATGTATAGGTCGCCTGAGTGGGTCCCTCAGTTTACTAAGAATTAACGGTTTGAAGCACTATGTTGCGTGACTTACATTTATATGCCATGGTATAAATACATTCATCCTTTATCATTTTCAGAGTTGTGAATGTCTTTGCCACTATTAAATGACATCATCTCTCAAAAGTGTTTTTTAAAAATTGAAGTATCGTCATATCTCTATCATATTTCTGTGATTTTTCGAATTATGTTTGTGTGAATTTGTGCATTGATACCGTCTATAATAGTCATGTGCTACTTGTTGGTAGAATTTAAGTGACTGTGTACCTGTATACCTGTCATATGGCACAACCATCACCGTAGCACTACCTGGCGTCCTCCTTCTGCCAACCTGGTGAGGATGCATACTAGATTGCTTCTCCTTCTGGAACATATAGTTGGACTCCGATTATGCTTTAGTGTGTACCAGGTTTGTCTTACGATATGATGGGATTCATAAACGGCGTTATCTACATGTTGATGATAGCACCTGTTACCTTTTTTGAAATACCAGAGTGAAGTTACAATCAACACTAGCTATCAATCCTCCAAGTGGTATAGATGAACATTAGCTACATCTGCAAAGTGCCATGCAAATGGTGAGTGAAGCCGCTTACGGCTTAAAAGAATATTCCGCTAAAAACCACTGAGTTTCTGTGAGTTCCTTGTGACTCCTAGATGAGGAGTCACGTTAGGCGTAGAGTGTTGGGCAAAGAGGGAAAATCAATCGAAGAGGCTATAGAGTTACATAGATTGAGATGGCTAGGTCACGTGCTGCGCATGCCTAACCATCGCCTCACCCAATGGGCATCACTAGCTGATATAGGTGACCAAACAAAAACATGGCATCAATCCATGAAATCCTTGAGAGTTAAACTGAGTCAGGTAGGGAGATGCAGACTTCCGGGTTGGGGCCCGTCCTCGGGACTCTAAGAATCAATGGCTGGAGACAATAGGTGACATGGCTCAAAATCGTTGTCAATGGCTTACGCAGATGTATTCAGTCTCTCTAACCTTCATATTCCTCTCTACCATTACTCATTCTGTTTCACTCTTATACTTATCTAAATTCTATTGATTCTCTTCTCTCATTTTCCTGTCTACCTTTGTGTGGTATTTGGAACGTGGCAACTCGAACTTCTGCACTTCGGTGCCAAGTTCTATGTTGAATCCAGCAGACAGACAGACTCCTAGATGAGTAACAAAATGCAAAAGGCACTTACGCGCGAGATTAAACAGTGTTTATGTAAGGAACTTGGAGCCTGGTGGTCAAAACCTTCATGTGAGATGGAATCAGCAGCTGCATCTGACAAAAGCTGGAAGCAGCTGTTCCAGCTCTTTCAAGCCACTGTCAGCTAGACGGCATGTAAAGCGGACGGTACGTTAATAACCAGCCTAAAAAGACGCCTGAGACATGTGCTCGGACACAGTGGAGATCACTATTGATTGAGTGTCGTCATCCGGAAACATCGGATGAACATACGCTACGAATATCACCCCAGAGGCTTCCGTACCGGTTTCTGTTCGCTAGCCAGCTCTAAGATGCGATGGAAAAGCGGAAGGGCGGTCAGTCAGCCTATGATGTTGCGTTGCGGGATAAAGGATATTTATGATAGGTTAGTATTGTTTGGTGGTACATCATGACTCCTTGGTTGTGGGGTCCCAGATATAACTCGAGTCGGTGATTCGAAACGTTATCCGATATGGCCAGAAATCGCAGTCGTCAATGGCGAACGTACTGCAATTCCCCGGTTTTTTCCCTTTTTGACAATAATTTGACGAATGTTGCTTGATCTTGTTAAACATGGCTGCTTCCTTTCTGGGCAAAGTCCTTTGTTCATTCTCTGTCTACCTTTTTTCTCATATGTTGCTTTGTTGTTATTATTTTGTGGAGCGTCTTCTTGGTGCTTATAGATAAAATGTTTACAAATAAGTTCAAATTATTTCCAGCTTTTCTGTAAAAAGTTATTTCAGTCATTGTACTACTAGTTATTCGCATGCATAATCATCTCTTTATTTTTGCAGTGTGGTCCTGCAGCTCGTCAACGGATATTGAGTGCAGCTGGAACCCTGGTTAAAAGAGCTTCAGCAGCGAATGCTGAAAAGATAGCCGCCGCCTGGCGATTGTCAAAGTCTGATGTAACTTTCCCACAGAAATTTCGTCTATCATCTCGAATTCTTACCACACCACCAGATGATCCGGGACCAGCGTGTTGGTTAATGCTGAAATTAATCGAATATGTAGAAGATTTACTTCAACCGCTTACACAATCCGATATATCTGCTATTAATAATGATCAGGTAAGTGGAAACAAAATCTCTGTTTGTGTGTGTGTGTGTGTGCGAAGTAATGTCTGCTTTGGTACTAGACCTACATACGATGGTACGTTTAAACAAAGCTTTTTGTTTAGCAGGGAGTGATAGGGATAGATGGATGGATAGGAAGTGTAATGGTAAAGCGTGTTGACCATCACTTCACTTATTTGGGAAGTTGCATCAGTCAGCTCTACCGTGTGGTTGATCGCTGACAAAACTGCACCACAGATACAGAAGGCTTGTGTGTGGCACTTTCTGGTTTAGTAGACGTGATATCCGTCTGGCTGGTTATTGATCAAAGGACGTTTTCACTGCTCAGGACTTCGCTCCGTCCTCCTTTTTGGGCTGTCTGTGAGAAATGGTCATTGAAAGTGTAAAACATGAAAAGGATAACTAATTGTCTTTGATCATAAGTGTCAGCATCCTATCTCTCATATTAGGTGGTATAGTATAGTGAGTAATATTGAGTTAAGGCATCAGTTCAGTGCTAGGTAAAGAGGGACATGTGTTTTGCATGCCTAGCGATGTTAGCTGACGTGTAGGATTAGGTTGGAGAAAAGCTATTGGTGGTCGAACAAATCCATAGCTCCTGTGCATGAAAACCTTATTAGGTAGTTCTGGCCATGTAGGAAGGTGTAGACTGTTGTATGGTTGGGGTCCTCGGGATTCTAAGAACCAGTGGCTGGAGACAATATGGTAATATGACTCGAAATCACTGTCAGTAATGCAGATGCATTCACTCTCTGTGATCTATTGCTTTTCCATATTACTATTATTTCTGCTTATCATTCTTCCTTCGAATAATCTCTTTCTTCTCTCTTTTGTGTGTGTGCTACATGGAGTGTAGCAACTCGAACTGGTGCACTTCTGTGCAAAGTTCTTTGTTGAAACCAATCAGTTAATCAGTTAGAGGAAATGTAGAAGGGTGACACATAAAGAAGTTGAGGTGAAATAGACTGAGCATAAATTGCAACTTCAGTCTTTATTATTATGATTATTATTTGGACAGTTTCATCTTTCAACTTGAAATGAGTCTTATCTGCATGATCCTGAATATCCGAAATTTGAATTTGCTTGATACACAATTTAGCTTGCAAGAGTTTGATTTGTAAGGATTAGATTTGTTTATACGAATTTGACCACGGATTGATATTAGTTAGAGAGGCATTGAAAACCAGGGAGAACTGGACAGCGGTTTCATTGTAGTTTGGAAATCAGTGGCGGTACACACCCACTGGGTCTCGAACCCAGGGCCTTTCGGTTACTAGGCAAGCTCGTATACCATTCAGCCACTGAAACCTGATTCATTGGCCCATGTATTTAGCGCGACCACCAACCAATATCATCGGTGGGAACTCCATCCTCACGCTTGACTGGATGGACTTCACTGGTCACGACCTGTTACTGGAACTCCAGGAAACTCTGTCCTGTAGCAAGTCACTAGCGAGCATCAGGTTGAAACAGCTGTCCAGTACTCCTTGCTTTTTAATGCTTCTCTAACTGATATCAATCCGTGGTCAAACTCGTATACACAATTTAGTGTTATTTGGTTCCTTGAATTATGCTTTTGTATGTTTCTAGGCTTTATAGACCTTGCCGTTGCAGACAGACAGACTACTAACTAACTCCGAGTAGTAGTACTTTCCAGCAATGTTGAATTTTTCTCTGAATAACCGGTAAAAGTAAAAATTGTAAATTAGCTTCAGTATTTCTGACCATATAGTCTCATAAGAAGTTATTGAATTCCTCTGAATTAATGTTCTGACTTCTACCATATTGTTGACAAGGTGAACGTACATTCATTTTTTTTATTCCTTCACGTTCCCAGTGGAACATAGGGCTTCAAGCTAGAGGCCTGAAGTTTCTGTAACAGTATTCATTTTTACAGGATGGGGTTGCTAGCCTCATGCCCAACCTTTCCTCTTTACCAGCATTATTTCTGGTTTAGTGAGGTAAAGGAGTGCGCCGACCGGGAATCGAACCGCGGACCATGTTCATGGTCGGCGAGTGTCCTAACCGCTGTGCCACATTGGCATTTCATAATTCATTCCTGACGTAAAAACTAATATTACTTTGATATAATGTAAGTACTAGCTCAGTCGCCTGTGTACTAGCACATGCACGTTCGGTCGGTCGGTCGGTTTTTGACATAGAACTTTGCACATATGTGCGGCAGTTCAAGTCGCCACAATCTATGTAGCACGCATGCACGTTATCGTGTATAAGCTGATGATCTGATAATTTCTGTTTCAAATGGTCTTAAAATAAATGTTATTTTGGTTGATTCTAGTTTCAGACGTGAACAAGACTTGCGTAGATTGGTTCAGCCCGATGATTTTTGTAATATTAGCAGCACTGTGATAGGGAGTAAATCGAATATCTGTTATCTCAGCATCAGTTTCTCTTTGAATCTCTGTTGGTCGTCTCATATCTCGTTGATTTCTAAGAAAATATTTCGTGTGAAACTTTCTGGCGCATAACTCAACCCCTTCTTTTACAACTTATTTATCCATATATTCTGCCCATTCTTCTTTATTGTTTGCCCTTATTCTTCCCCGAGCTTCTCAAGAAAGACATTTGTCATGATAGGTAGTACACTGAAGGTTGTTATGTAGGGTTAGTAAGTGGTATGTGGCTTTGACTCAACTAACTGACATTATCGTCCGTAGGCACTTCAATTCTTGCAAGCATTTGTCTAAACTTATCTTGTATGATACCGAACATCTTCTTCATTCACAGCTATTTCCTTTGTATCTTTTTAGGTAAGACCAGAAGAAACTTCATAAGAATTTATACTCGTACAACTAATAAATATAAAAATTTTACCATACCAGCATATTTAGAACGGGGTTTTGTGTGAAGAGAGGTGGATGTCAGAAAAGAACTTAAAAACTGAGCTACAAAGTATAAGCAAAGATTATTATTATTATTACATGTATTATCTATTATTCATTATATCCTGCTAACTTTCAATGTTTCCTGTTGCTACCGGTGATATTCTTAATTGTGGTGGACTGGATTATGCGGAAGATTGTGCGTAGGGAGCGAGGAGACGGGAATGCACTGGACTATCGACAAGAAGACTCCATGTAGAAGATCTGGATTTCGCGTGTGGATGGTTTAATGGTCTAATGTCACACAAACCAACAAACTGGCTGAAGAAGCAACGAAGATAGGACTCCAGATGAACATAGAGAAGACGGAGGTGATGAAGATGACCAACAGATCTCAACAACAACAACCAGCACCAGTCATCATCGATGGGAGAGATTTAACAAAGGTTACTTCCTTCACTTATCTAGGAAGCATAGTTTCAACTACAGGCAGTCGGAACGGATAAGGATGTCACAGCTGGTGGTCAGCTAGAATCGGAAAGGCAAGATACGTCTTCATCAATCTGAAAACAGTTTGGAGATCTTCTGCACTCTGCCAGCATAAAGAACAGGATTCGGACCTTCAACACAGATGTGAAGTCAGTCCTTCTATACGGGTCAAAAAATGATTTGCAACAGGTTGCAGGTTCCATCAACAGCTGTCTTTGCTCCATAGTGAAGAACAAATGGGAACAAACCAACCAAGAGCCGATCGCTCAACAAATATGTAGGAGAAAATGGAGATGCATTGATCGCCCATACGTTGAGGAGGCCGTCGAATAACATCGCGCGCAATGCAGACCATCTCTCGAGTGGAATCCCAGTGGGAAACGACGAGTGGTTCGTCGGTGCGATGGTGACAATGGAGGAGATCGTGTGTTGGGGAGGAGGAGATGAGAGATTGCGGTCAATTGTAGACCCAGTTGAAGAGGATGGCAGAAAATAGAAGAGAGTGGAGACAGTGCTGTTGTAGCTCTATATTCCACTCGGAACCCAAGGGAAAAATAATAACCATCAGTGTTCGCGGTTTAATTTTTTTCAATTTTATGTTTTCGTTTATGTTTGTAAATTGGTGCACTATTTATAAACGCTGAAAATTCAATGCTATGTGATTATTATTATTATTATATTGTTAACGTGTGCGTCGGTGGCATAGCGGCTAGGACGCTTGCCGACCATGCACATGGTCCGGGGTCCGATCCCCGGCCGATGCACTCCTTTACCCAGCTAAGCCAGTAATAAAAGCTGGTAAAGAGGAAAGTTTGGGCATGAGGCTAGCAACCTAATTCTGTAAAAATAAACACTGCTACAGAAACTTCAAGCCCCCAGCTTGAAGCCCTATGTTCTACTGAGAACGTGTGAGAATAAAAAATATAATATAATAATGTATATTATCAGTGCTATTAGTGCAAGCGACTAGTTATATGCGAGGTACTCGTTTGACTTGTTCAGTGTCTATAGTCAATCAAATATCGCTGTGTCGAAATTCTAGAAGTTTATATAAACTTTTATTGCACTAGAGACTGCTACTTTATGTGCTTCGCATGACACTGTTTACAGCCTTCGGTAGATATGTGTCTGAATAACTGTTATGAGCTTATAAGATGTTTCTTGTATGATATAATTTCCTAGCGTATGATTGTTCCATATGTCTCATTATTTTTTTCTTTTTCAGGATCCTGTTCTTAAACGAGGATTGTTAGGTTTATTCATCTTATCTGCACTACTGGATGAATTCTCTTATTCTGAAGACAGTGCCCAATTAAATTTACCATTGGAAGCGCATATTTTCCTACGGGCCAGATTTCAGGTATACATTGATTTCTAATTGATGACTTTATCTCATATTTATTATTTATTTATTATTTTGAAATCGCACCCGACCTGGTGGACCCAACTGATCACAATTTCTAACTAGAACCCCGGCAACTTTGTCCAGGAGCCAGTCACTAGCGTGTATTGGCTTGTGGTCACACCGCAATCAAGTATTGACAGTAGTTGAAATTCATGGGCCATTGGAGTCCGGTCCCACTGACTGAATGGTCTATTAGTTTGCTCGCCTTGTAACCGGAAGGTCCTGGGTTTGAACCCCGGTGTAGGCGCGTATTGATGAAGAGTCCCAGACTGGGACGAAGCAGCTGTCTGTCCAATTTTCCAATGGTTCTCTAACCGATGTCAACTCATGATGAAATCCTGTAACCAATCAAATCTCAGTTGAAAAAGAATATTTTATCACTTAATTTCCAGGATTATGAACTTCCTCGATTGTTTGAAAATTTGCTTTGTCTTGCCAATCAACTCCTGTTGTATTGGTCTTCATTGGATTGTTCACAACTGAGTAATGGACAAAGTGAAGTTGTATTCCGAGTTATCAACGCTTTGGATATGATTACAAGTTGGGATTTTTTACCTCGTGAACGTGAGTTTTCTTTTTTCTGTTTTTGTTTTAAATTTACGGCTTCTCTTAATTATTTGTTGACTTCATAACTGAGTAAAATGAAATTGGGTGGAGTCTAGCAGTTTAGGTTATTCTATTTTTAGAATGGCGTAGTTATTATATCATTATTCCCTTGGGTTTCCGAGTGGAACATAAGGCTTCAACAGCTCTCTGTCTCCACTTTGTTCTGTTTTCTGCCGTCCTCTTCGTCTGGTTCAACGATTGACCAAATTCTTTCATCTCTTCCTCACACGATCTCCTCCATGTCACCCTAGGTCGACCCACTCGTCTCTTCCTATTTGGATTCCATTGAGTGATGGCCTGGCGTGCGATGTCATTCGGCGACCTCCTTAATGTATGCCAGATCCATCTCCACTTTCTCCTAAACGTATGTTGAGCGACCAGCTCTTGGTTGGTATTTTCAGATAGTTTCTTGTTGCTTGTTCTTTCTGACTAGCCATGTGATCTTCAGTGTGGAGCCAACGAAGTGGGCAGCTGTTGATGAAAGTCTGCAACCTGTTGGAAATCCTTTTCGTTACACGCTGGCCAAGTTTCTGACCCCTATAGAAGAACCGACTTGACATTGGTGTTGAAAATGCGAATCTTGTTCCTTATGCAGAGCACAGTGCAGAAGATTTCCAAACTGTTTTCAGGTTGATGGAGGTGTATCTTACCTTTCCGATTCTTGCTGACCGGTCGTGACATCTTCATCCGTTCCACTGGCCTGTAGTTGAAACAATGCTTCCTAGATAACTGAACGATGCAACCTCTATTAAATCTCTCTCGTCGATGGTGATTGGTGCTGGCTGTTGTTGATTGGTTGGTTATCTTCATCACTTCCATCTTCTGTGTGTTCACCTGCAGTTCTGTTTTCGCTGCCTCTTCAGCCAGTTTGTTGGTTTTCGCCTGCAAGCCTTCGAGTTAACAGTGCTCAAATTCTGGGACTCATTTAAACTAGGATTTTTGGATAGTAAAGATATTTCATTACAAATCAGTATCTTGAATTTGGTAACAAAGAGCACATTGAGACTCCGGATTAGTTTCTGTGAGTCAAATTTAAAAGAACCTGAATCGTGGAAGTTAGGCAGTAATCTAATATGTGTTTATTTCTCAATGGGAATGGACTGACTGACTGACTGGTTTCAACATAAAACTTTGCATCGATGTGCAGCAGTTCAAGTCGCCACACTTCACTCAGCACACAAAGCCAGAGAAGAAAGTAAAAAGAAACGTAAAACAGACACAGCAAACAGAGATATGAGGCAAAAAACAATAGTAATATAGAAAAACAATGTAGTTTTATTGGGTATTATAAGTCACAAGGAATGCATGCATCTACTCCAATTGACAACGATTTTAAGACAACTGGTGATATGGCTCAAAATCGTTTCACTATTATTATTATTCCCTTGGGTTCCGAGTGGAATATAGGGCTTCAACAGCACTCTGTCTCCACTCCCTTCTATTTTCTGCTGTCCTCTTCAACTGGGTCTACTGTTGACCATAATTTCTCATCTCCTTCTCCCTAACACACGATCTCCTCCATTGTCACCCTCGCATCGACGATCCACCCGTCGTTTCCCATTCCGGCTCCACTTGAGCGATGGCCTGCACTGCGCGCGGTTTCACTTGACGGTCTCCTCAACGTATGGGTGATCAATGCATCTGCATTTTCTCCTACATATTAGTTCAGTGATCGGCTCTTGGTGACGTTTCACTAAATAGTGCTAATAGCTTTATCAGAGTAATCGTAAACAAAATCTCAGGTTGTATATGATAACAATCCACAATAGTTCTTGTTACATTATGATCATTATTTCCTTAGGCTCCGAGTGGAATATAGCGTTTCAACAGCCCATCTCTCTTTCATCTTGTTTTCTGCGTATCAGCTGTTATCTCCTCCTCACACGATCTCTTGCATGTCACCTCGGACACCCGACTCTCGGCTTTTCATTTTGGGTTCCACTCAAGGTCCTTGCACGCGGTGTTATTCAGTGGTTTTCTCAGAGGGTGTCCTATTCATCTGCATTTTCTTCGGCATATCTGTTGATCAGTAGGTTCTTGGTCAGGAGAAGGAAAGAATTAGCAACAAGAAACTATGGGAGCGAAATAACCAAGAACTTATGGTTCAACAAATATGTAGGAGAAAATGAATATACATTGATCGGGCATACGTTGAGGATACCGTCGAATGATATCACGCACCAGGGAAGCGACGAGTGGGTCGTCGATGCGAGGGTGACTTGGAGGAGGTCGTGTGTTGGGGAGGAGGAGATGAGAGATTATGGGCAATCGTGGGCCCAGCTGAAGAGAATAGCAGAAAATAGAAGAGAGTGGAGACAGAGTTCTGTTGCAGCCCTATGTTCCACTCGGACCCCAAAGGAGCAATAATATTAAGGCTCTTGGTTGATTTATTCCCTTTAGCTAATTCTTTCTGACCATCTGATCTTCATTATGCAGTGAAGGCAGCTATTGATAAAATTTTGCAGCCTGTCCTAAGTGTTTGTCGACAACACAATAAGAAGACGTAGTTTATCCGAAACGTGAAATGTATTTGAACCATTTAGAACTACTAATTTGAAATTAGTTTTGAAATCCGAACTTTAAAAAAAATACTGATTGCAGTAGATTTCGAGACTGATTTCAGGATGATGAGGTTCCATCTCGCCTTCCCCATTCTGGTTTCGACATCCTCATCCCTGCTGAATACCTGTAGTTGAAATGATGGTGCCTAGAAAAGTGAAGGAAAGTGTTTCCTTGAATTGTTTTCCAGTTGAATTTGCTTAGTGCTTATTGTTGTAGTTTAGGTCTAGTCTTCATTACCAGCTACCTCTTCTGCCATCATGTATATTTTTACTTGTACATCTTCGACATAAATTGTCCGCGAAGTCCATATCTTCAAGACTCTTCTTATCGGTCAAAACGTAATCCTGTCTTCTCGCTCGCTGTGCACAGTCCAGCGCATAATCCAGTCCACCACAGTCAGGAGTATCATGAGTAGTGATAGTAGACAGGCAGCTTGTCTTGCTTCTGTCTTCACTTCAAAGGCTTAGCTGAGGTTTCCGTCCGTCATGAATCCCTTGACATATGGCATTGTCACATTGTTGTTTGCTTTGGAAGTTATTCAAATCACAAACAATATATGATCTGCTTGATACCGTATATAGTGGTCAAGATACCAAGCATAAGCATGCGTGACGCGTTGTGCTACTGATTCAATGATATAAGTAGTTGTGTGTCACTTACATCAAACAGTAGTGCTTGCTAGCCAGCCAGGTAGAGACGATCTAAACACCGAATAACCGTTTCTCTTGAGATCATCACAGTTATAGCCGGTTTGACTTAGCTCAGAAAGCACTACCTACCAGTTGATATGAGTGGTTTACAACTACTCATTTCTTTCAGTGAGTAGTATATAGTTTAATCCTGAATTTCTTTGTTCAAGAGGATATCTTTATATCTCTCGCTTTTTATAAAGTTAATACTTTCTTGCCTTTTATTCACTTTTATATTGATTGTAGTTGTTGGCTTTCATGCTAGTCGAATACGACGTACTGATCATGAAACTCGTTTTCGGCCTAGTTCTAAGTGGCATCATGTTATGGGATCCGATGTATTTCCACGGACTTTATTACTTTTTATTAAGGTATGTTAAAGACTTTATAATGATGATAGCATCCTTATGGTGGTTTCCATGTTTATTGATTATTCTCTTGACGTGTTTTGCGTTTAGAAATTTCATTGAGAGAATTGACGAGTGAGTGTGAGTATGTTAGTGTATGTGTGTCGGTGGGATTTCAAATGAGGTTATGAGAAAATAAAACGATGACATGACTCCTTTTCATGAATTCTGATTGTCTAATTCATTTGTTCAGAAGCAGAAGGAGAAATTGTAGCATTCTGTTAAAGGGTATTATCTGAATTAACTGTAATTTGAGTGTAGATCTCTTCCAAGAACAATTAAACCAAACGTTCGAGTTACGCGTAAAATCCTAAAACACAGACCTCACATTATGGGGTGTTTAAGGATGAATGCCGTTGAGTATACTGTCACTGTGCTTAAGTAGATCAGAGTTGTGTCAAGGGAGATCCGGAGTTAGAATAAATAGTGCACGAATGTCCAGGTAAAGTGTAAAAGGATCAGAATAAACAATGTTCAGCAAAAGTGGATGAGGATCACATAAATACAGGAGAAGGATGATCAGAAGGGTTTCGTGTGCTTTTGGAAGTGTGTCGGTGATGGTTACTTCCCATCTGCCCACACCTTAGAACTCGATTTATTCTTGGGATACCTGAAATAGAAGGAGACTTAATGCTGTGTGACTAGAGAGCCCAGGAAACAACTTAGCTTGAGGCCGATCACATACGGTCTGTTTGGTAAATGTATTGCGAAAAGTTATCAGAATGTTAACTTACGATCATCAGATACAAGAAACTTTGTGTTCTACCCAACGGTTTATGGTTGCTTTGCTTTATTTGAGTGGAGCTGGCAGTGAAGCTTTTTCGATAATTTTCTCTGTTTAACAGCTCTTTAAGGATTGCCATTGCATTCACTAACTTGAAATATCAGATTACTAACAACATTGATATAGAAATGCTTAGACAAATGTTACCCACATTCCCGTTTCCGAAAATTGGAAAACCATAGTGTTTATGACGGTTAACGTTTGTAGCACCAAGTGTGTCTCATTTGAGTTCCGAGCTGACGCTCTTCTGAAGAATATCTATAGCTTATTATTATTCCCTTGTATTCCAATTGGGGCACAGTACTTCAAAAAGACATCTCCATTTTTTCCTATTCTTTGTGGTCTTCTTCATCTGACGCGACGATTGTCCATAGTCTCTCATCTCCTCCTCACACGATCTCCTCTGTATCGCACTTAGACCAACGCCCAAGCGATGGTCTGGCGTCTGAAGTTATTCAACGATTTTCTCAGGGTGTGTTCTATCCATCTCCATTTCCTTCGGGATATTTGTTCTTCCCAAAGTTTCTGATTGCTGATTATTTATGGCCACCTGATTTTCAGTATGAAGTCGGCGAAGATAGCTGTTGATAAAGATCTGCAATAGATTGTTGGAAACGCTTTGATAACGTGAGAGCCAAGTTTCTGATCCCTATAGAAGAAATGATTGACTTAACATTGGTGTTGAAAAGCCTAATTTTATGCTTTATAGATAGTGCAACAGACTTCCAAATTGATTTTTAGAGCGATGAATATCTCTCTCTCTCTCACCTTTCCGATCCTTGGTGGCTTTAACATCCTTACCCGTACTAACTGCGTGTAGTTGAAACGATTATTATTATTACTATTTTTATTGTTTCCTTTAATTCCTAGAGGAGCACAGGGCTTCAGCCAAACGCCTCCATTGCGTTCAGTTCTCTCCCAATATTTTCACATGCCTCCACGTCTGCCCACATGCTTTCATCTCCTCTTCATATCATTTGACCTCTTCGGAGTCACCCTCGCACTAACGACCAACTCGTCGCTTCCCGTTCGGGTTCCACTCCAATGACGGCCTGACGTGTGATGTCACTTGATTTGTTTTATCAGAGTTTGGCCAATCCACCTCCATTTCTTCCTGCATATTTCTTGCACAATTGGTTCCTAGTTGGTTCGTTCCCAAAGATCCCTCGCTGTTGCTGATGTTTTCTGGTCGGCCATCTGATCTTGAGTAGTATTAAGCGTAGACAGCTGTTAATGAAGGTCTGTAGATTGTTGGAGATGCTCTTTATGACGCGCTGGCTAAGTCTCTGATCCGTATAGTAGCACTGACTTCACATTGGAGTTGAAAATCCGGATCTTATTTTGGATGCTGAATGCTGTTGACCTTCACACAGACTTGAGAGTAGTGAAAGCTTTTCTTGTCTTTCCGATTCTCGCTTTGATATCCTTGTCAGTTCCGTCCGCCTGTAGTTGAAACGGTGCTTCCCAGGTAGGTAAAAGAGGTTGTTTCTTTCAGGTTCCTCCCATTTATGCTGATTGTTGTCTGTTGTTGTTGCTGTTGGTGGTGTTGCCCAGGAATCTTCATCACCTCTGTTTTCTCTATGTTCACCTGAAGGAAGTCCTATCTTCTCTGGATGCTTGTTCTGCCAACTTGTTGCTTTTCACTTGCATATCTTTCAGTTTGTGGGAAATCAGACATATATCATTGGCGAAATCCAGATTCTCCAAGTGTTTTGTGTGAGTCCATTTTATGCCTGTTTCCTCATTGCCCGCTGTTTGTCGCATTATCCAATCTACTGCAATCAGGGGAATCATTGGCGATAGTAGGCAGCCAGCTTGTCTTACTCCTGTCCTCACTTCGAAGGGTTCCGTAAGTTTCCCGTTGTGGATTACTTGGCATACAGCATTGTCGTACATCTGTTGGATGAGATGTATAATTGTTGGTGGCACCCCTTGGTAGTAGCGAAGTAGTTTCCAAATCACCTCTCGATCAACACTGTCGAAGGCCTTTTCAAAGTCGATGAAGTTGAGGTAGACGTAGAGAGCTGACTGCCATTCCAGGCTCTGTTCAATGATGATACGTAGTGTCATGCATCGATCAAATCACAACATTACGTATCAGCTGAAACGATGCTGCCTAGATAATTAAAATAAGTTACCTATTTCAAATTTGTTCCTTTGGTGGTGATTGGTTGTCATCATCATCACCCCCTTCTTCCTCCATATATTCACTCGAAGTCCTGTCTTTGCTGCCTCGGCTTCTTCAGCCAACTTGTTAATTTTCACCTTTAAGTTTTCAAGTTTGTATATGGCATTAGGCATAAATTATCCGCGAAGTCTAGATCTTCTAGACTCGTCTTATCGGTTCAACGTGTTCCTGTTTTCTCGCCCCCCCCTCCCCACCACCGTGGTTCCGCATAATCCATTCCACCATAATTGGAAAGGTTATAATAATATTGAGTAAGTTGAATTGGGTGGATTTACTGCTAAGTTTTTTCTTGTGTGTATACTAATAATGTAGCGCCATTTTGAATTTTAAACAATCTTAAAGCTTCATAATTAAAATTATTTTTTACACTTAACTCTTCATTTTCATTTGAAATTCATTGAATATTGATTGAACTAGTTACATACATGGGTTCGTGGTTCAGATCTCCTCGGTTCACGTACATTATCTTGCTTGGTACGCTTTTCTTCAATGTCTGGTCCTCTTATCGATCCAATCTCTTCATCGCTGACCTGTTTAAGCAGTAATGGGATTATGTCCTCCTGTTTTGATCAAAATCAGTCCTTGTGCTCATCAAGTACACTGCATTTTCTCATACTTATTGAACATATGAATCGATGGTTAAATGATGGAAGTACTGGAAGTGACAATCATCAACAAGACAAGGATTTGACTCAAACATCAATTGAACAACTCATTAATCAAGCCCCGGTTGGACTACGTGATGAAATAATCAATCGTATCGTTGGAGTTGGTTTAGTTATTCCAAGTATAAAATTAGAAAATCTAATTCCTTATGAATTGCCTATCCTATCTGAGTTCATACTGAATCTAGTGTTGAATAGTTCACGTGCATGGGAACCAGTCGAGCGTGTCTTGTCACTGCCAAAACTTAGTTCACAGGAGACTGTCAGCAAAGAGACATGTCAGTCAGTATTTCATATGGGATTGATTTGTCTATGGATAATGAACAAGTTTCTTGCGATTCTTTCTTCTCTATTAAAACAAGTGAGTTTTACTTTGTTTTTGTTTTTTTTTTGCTTTGTTATAAGCCACTTTTGTAAGAAGGGCCGGCCTACGAACCACCGCAGTTATCCTCCGGTAGTTGTTTTAAACTTTTTCTTTTAATTGAAAGCCTTTTATATAAGTGAATGCAAATTCATGGCTGGAGTATTGACGATAAATGCTAATGATAATACACCATAGGTGTCTGCGTTCTGTCTCCCGTGTGAAGTGGTATAATGAGGTGAGCAATATTGAGGTTAGGCATCGGTTGAGTGCTAGGTAAGGAGGGGAAATCAGTTGACGAGACTGTGAAATTACATCGACTGAGATGGTTAGGACATGTCTTACGTATGCCTAGTCATCGCCTTCCTCAACAGTGAGCAATGCTATCTGATATAGAGTTAGGCTGGAAAAGAGCTAGCGGCGGTCAAACGAAAACATGGCACCAGTCAACGAAATCCACGACAGTTAGTCTAAGCCACGTAGGAAGGTGTAGACTTCCCGGTTGGGCTCCTCGGGACAGTAAAAACCAATGGTTGGAAATAATTGTTGACATGGCTCAAAATCGTTCTCAATGGCCGGCTGGCGCAGATGCATCCACTCCTTGGGACTTATGATTTCCAATGAAACTGTTTTGTTCTCCGTTATTACTATTCCGTTGTCTCACACCTCTGTTTACTGTCTACATTATGCATTTCTTCTACTTTCTTCTCTTGCTTTGCGTGCTACATAGATTGTGGCGACTTGAACTGCCGCACATCAGTGCAAAGTTCTATGTCGAAAACAGAGAGAATGATAATACACATGCTCGCGATATAGGCCCTCCCACCTAGGTAACAAAATACAGCGTCTTATAAACACCTTGAAGACCAGCAATCTTCGAATGTTTGCCATGGAATTCACTTTTGTCAACTGTGAAATGATGATGTAGGTATGGAGCACACGGATCCTTTTTTTAAGGATAAAAGTTGAAGCCGCAGAGCGATTTGACCAATTCACTTATTTGGTAAGTCACATCAACCAACCCTACTGAGTGATTGATCGCTGACGAAATCTCAGCACGGATACAGAAGGCTCGTTTGGCATTTATTAGGCAACTTACGCCATCTATGGTTTAGTAGACGTGATATCCGGTTGTCTGGCTATCGATCAAAGGACAGGTGTGCTGCTCAGCAGTTCTTTCTGTCCTCCTTTATAGCTTTAAGTGAGACATGGTTATTGGAAATAGAAGACTTGGAAAGGCAAGTTATCTTTCTTTGATCATAGGTGTCTGTGTTCTGTACTGTTATAACAGGGTAAGGTAATATTGAGGTTAGGCATCGATCAAGTGCTAGGTTAGGAGGGTAACGAAAATATGGTTTAATCAGTCAATGAATTCCGCAACAGCCAATTTAGGCCAGCCGACCAACCACGTAGAGAGGTGTAGACTCCTGACTGGTTGGAGTGCTGAGGATTCTAAGATAGTTGGTGATATGGTTGGAAATCGTTGTAAATGGCTGGTGGAGATGCATCCACTCTTTGTGATTTGGCATATCCAGTTGAACTTTATTCTCCTTTCATATTACTACAATTCTTTTTCCCTCACTCACACTTCTGTTTATTGTCTCTCTTAACTGTCTTCTCTTGCTTTGTGTGCTACATAGAGGTATTGTGGCGAGTTGACCTGGTGCACATCTGTGCAAAGTTGTTCTAGCTTGAAACCAGTTAGTCAGTCATTCACTCAGACCGTATTCTGTCCACTTGGTGAATGCTTTCAATCAAATGAGACAAAATAGTGCGTCTTATGGGTTTTGTTTGGCTCATTCTGAACTATGAAGGAAGATGCTCAGGAATGCGTTTGTTGAGCTATCTAGCTGTTTCTCTCCATATACCTTTCTCCACAGGTGCAGGTGATTAGTTTTTGGCCTTGTCGACAGCTAGTAATGTATAAACTAATTCTGTAGAATCTGTTACGGTGGTGAGTGGTACTGATGAGATTTATCAGTACTATATAAAGAGACGTTCTTCGGCATTAAAACATCAAATGGCAAGAAGATACATTTGATGTCAGAGAAGGCAAGTGATACACAGTTGTGGGCACATATAGGAGACGTGAAACGACCGCAAAGAAACACAATATGAAGTCCGGAAGTACCACAACACGAAGATCTGTGCAAATGGTGCGTTGAAGATGATGTATGCATAACGTGGGTTTACAGAGATACCAATTTCCATATGAACATTCCTTTACGAAGTCTTACGTCTTCTACAGTTTCATTTCTTACAAAAAGGAATGTTCAAAAAGATCTTGTCCACATCTTCTCAATAAGCTGAGATGAATTTGTGGTGAGAGCTGTCTGCAAGCCAAAATTGTAGACAACAATTTAAGTCAGTTTTTATGTCCCGAATTGGGGTCATGAGAAAAAACAGTAGCAAAGCCTAACCTTGAGGAACTCACCAACCAATCACAGCAGACTTGACGTGTGCTAATTCGACTCGCAGGTATATAGCTTAACTTTCTAAGAAACAGTCACAAGCAAGAAAACGACCAATCAGAAGACGTTGCTTCTCTACTAACGATAACGCTAATAATAATGTACATAAACATCTATAACTACCTCTTGATTTGATGTGACACACACACTGAGCAGACTGTTGAGTGACGTCGCGTATGAGGCAATCTCCTTTGAGTGGAACGTAAATGGGAAAGCGCAAGTTGATCCTGGCTCTGGATGTGACACAGAGGAGATCGTGTAAGAAGGAGGAGGGGATAAAAGATTATGGGCAATCATGGAGCTGGCTAAAGAGAATTTCGGTGATGAACAGCATAAAATGAAGATGTGGTGTTGAAGCTCTGTGTTCTGCTCGGAACCCAAGGGTGTAGTAATAACATAGCCTTGACATTTGTGGTTTTTCTGTTGGCTGTTTAAATGTGACATACAATGACTTTGATTTGTTGTCAGTCATGGTGTTTTTATAAATTGGATCCTGGAGTATTTTTCACGATCTGCATGACTGGATATACGGTGGAGATCAAAGATCCTATCAGTTATGTACATTTTTTCGTGAATTCTTGTGAACCCTACTTCAGTCTGTATATATATATATATACCTCCTATTATTCTTTTTCTTTTAAGTGTATGCGTCTAATGGCATCCAGTTCTACAGAAATCGATGGTGATGGCCAATTAGCTCATGAAGCTGTTGAACGTCTTTTCAACTGTTGGAGTGATCTTGTCGACTTGATCCCTTCATCATTGAGTGATATGTCATTTGTTGGTGGTAAACAAAATAATGCCGTAACCGAATGTGATTCAGACGATGATTCACCTTTACCACTGACAACTGGTCAAGTACAAAATGCTGGTAATTTTTTTTGTATTGTTAATTTAAAAATACATGTTAAACAACATTCTAATCATAATTACAATTGTTATAATATTTTTGTCATGTACCAGTTAAGAAGGTCATTGAAATATCAGGAAGTACTGGATAGCTGTTTCGTCCTTTTTTAAGGCCCCTCAGCAGCGCGATCCCTCTATCTCACAAGAGACCTCTTGCCCAAGGATTTCAGGTAACAAGGCCAAATTTGGTGACTATTCAATCACTTGGGCTGGAATTCAGTGACCTGAATTCTAACTCTGTGATTAATCGAAAATTCCGACAAATCTTATAATCATAACTATTTGCTTATATCACTTATCATAAACTTACCTATATGTTTCATTGTTATCAGTTTCAGCTTTGCGATGACCGAATGATAATTTTATTGAAATTATCGATCATTGGATCTAGAATTCTAGGGATAATGGGCTGATCACCTCTCTGCTTTTTTCGTCCAGTCCCCGAGGCTGGCGAACAGTGACCGGGTCGAAAGTCTCTGGGATGACATTAGTAGCACATTTCCAAGTCACCGAAGCCAGTGTTCCCAAATGATCACATTCAGTGAATGGTGATCTCCACCGAGTCTGAACACACGCTGCTGTACCTTGAAATCGCTCACATGATGATTCCATCGGATGCAAGCAATTCTATGGAGACAACGATACACATAGAGTCACCACACATCCTCAGATTATTGAAGATGGCACGCTTCAACCTCTGGCAGCCAGACTGACGTCGCGTTGGGCTCCAGAGATGGCTCAAGTTGGTGTATGCTACCCTAGCTTTTATGATATAGTTAGGAATCTTATCTGTTACATCTCCATCAGCGCTGACACAACTATTCAGATACACAAACTTGTCGGTAACTTCGGGTGGTTCACTTGTGACAGTGAGTGCAGGTACAGGCTCCTGCCAGGCAATCTTGTAACAGTACTTAGCAATTAGATGGCGTAGAGCACATACTATACTTGAAGGCACTGATTGCCGACTAATTCACTGCAATTTGAGCAGGGTGTGTGCACTATCTCACAGTACAACGATGTTTTCTGCATACTCAAGGTCGCAAAGTCTTTCCCCAGGAAGCAGATATATGCCACCACACAAGTCCTTCAGAGCTGACTCCAGGATGTCATCGATGGCAAAGTTAAAGAGAAGTGGATAGATTGGGAAACCCTGTGTTGATTAGGAACAGTGGTGATAACCGGTTGTATTCCCTCATTCTACCTGAGGTGTTTCTGCATAGGGCTTTCAAGATGCTAACAAACTTCTCAGAGTCAAGAAGGGGAGCTTCTTCCAATGTTAGATTGCAACATAAAAAGGAAAGAAGATGGGAAGTTAAACACTAGTGTTTACAGGAAACCCACACACTCAAACAGATATTTGGACTTCCAATCATCCCATCCTATGTCAGTAAAAATAGGATTGGTGAAATGTTTAAATGACAGAGCACAAATCTAAGTAGTACCAAAGAAAATCTAAAACAGGAAGTGATACATATAAGAGAAGCCTTGAAACTTAATAATTACCCGGATAAATTAGTCAAGAAATATGTAGGGAAATGTAGAAATAAAATAAATAATGATAGTAGTGATAGTGATAATAATAATAATAATAATAATAATGACGACATGCATGTCAAACGTGCGCAGGATAATGACAACACTAACAATAAGGAATCTAAACAATCAGCAGTAATTCCATGCAAGGAAGGAACGTCGGAAACCTTACGCAGAATTCTTAACAAGGCAGGAATAAAAGTGGCTGGCATTCACAAACTCAATTAGAAACAAGCTTTGTCGGCTAAAGTATCAATCCTGTGGAGCCTTTAAAACAAAACAGTTTAGTTTATTTAATACCCTGCCTGCAATGATTGTCAGATCAAAAACATAGGTCAAACTAGTAGAACAGGGGCAGTCAGACTAGGTGAACATAAAAACCCAGCAGCAAAATCTAGATTAATTGACCAGAATAAGATAAGAAATCTAGAGAATAGTTCAGCTATAGCACTACATGCAATTACACATAACCACGCAATAGGATGGGATAAGATGGCAGTTTTATAATCTAATGTATCATGGTGGAGGGAGAGAGAGATTGATAACGGAAGCTTTGTTTATCGAATCGACTGCAAACACGTGTAATAAGAATGATTCAACACCTGTCCATTCAGATATTTGGAAAATTTTACTGCCCAAACGACTGCAAATAGGAAAGAACAAAGAAAACTATAAAACTCAAGTTTCCAAGTGGTGTGATTACAATTGATGTCATTATAAACAATAATAAATTGTGTTTGAAACGTCATCCGGTAAATAATACTGTTTCACTGTGTGATACATCTAATAAACAAACTAATATAGATTTATTTACTACCACAGTGCCCAAGTTTTTTACATATTAATACACCCCTCTCTAACAGACAATTCCACAAGGCAGTTCTGTCCAACGATTCTAAGGCAGTGTATAAAGTCAACTATTAATGGATTCATAGGATACTGGTATGATTTGAACATGAGGTGGAGAAAGTTTCCAATACACTTCTGTTCTCTTCATAATAAATACACAAACACACACCTACAGATGAGTCTCAACTATGTCACAAGTAGAATAAAATAACAATTGTATTTGATTTTGGTCTCGTCACTACAACCTTTTCATGCAATGGACTTTTATAGAGGATATTTAGTAAAACGTTTTTCGATTTTTCCGATGCACATGTCTCCTTTATTCAGTGGTTTGCATGTGTTATTTTAAGCGTCAATGACAGAACACTCGTCATCGACTGAGATGGTTAGGACATGTGTTACGCATGCATGCCTAGCCACCGCCTTCCTCGACAACGGGCAGTGTTAGCTGATACGGGATGGATCAGATTAGAAAAGAACTAGTAAGTGGCGGTCAAATCAAAACATGGCTTCATCAGTCAATGAAATACACAACAGTTCGTTTAAGCCAATCAGCCACGTAGGAAGGTGTAGACTTCTTGACTGACTGGTTGGGGTCCTCGGGAGGGTAAAAACCAAAAGCTGGAGACAATTAGTGATATGGCTCAAAGTCGTTCTCAATGGCTAGCGGAGATCCGTCCACTCCTTGTGACTTGTAATTGCCAATGAAACTATATTGTTCTTCGATATTACTATTCTTTTTGCCTCATATCTCTGTTTACTGCCTCTGTTTTACGTTTCTTTTTACTTTCTTCTCTGGCTTTGTGTGCTGAGTGAAGTGTGGCGACTTGAACTGCTGCACATCGGTGCAAAGTTTTATGTTGAAACCAGCCAGTCAGTCACACTTGCCAATCGTATAATACCAACGCTGCTGAAGCCTTAACGCTCCAGCCTGAAGCCTTATGTTTTACTTGAAACCAAAAGGTATGAAATAATTTAAAAAATATAAAATATTGTTTCTTAATGTCATTCTTTTTTTTACAATTTCTCAATTACAGATCAATTAGTTCAACAAATGAAGAAACTTCTCAGAATGTTAAGAAGAAGTAATTCTATTCGACAGTCTCAATTGTTTCAAATTTATCTTGCCTCAAAATTGGCTCAACCTGTTGGTTTACGTCGAATGATTAAAAATGATGATAATAATGAAGAAATTGATCTTGAATTAGATGAAGATGATTTGACTGCATCAGAAGTAAGTACACAATTTATGTTATAAAAATAAACTTCAGCATAGATATATACTACTACTAATGGACTTAATTTTAACTGAATTCAACGACTGACTTGTAACCATCAGGGTATAATCTCGTCGACTTAGAATATGCAGATGGTACAGTCCTCCATCCTAGGTGAGGTGAAGACGCTGACAAAGTCCAGAGTCTACTGGAACACCTTGAGCTGAGCAGAAATCTTCGAGTGTTTAGCATGTGATTTACTCCTGTGAGTCAAATATAAGATGACGCTACAGGATTAGATTAAATCGACTCACTCCTAGATTAAAGACAGGGAGGGAGTGAAATGGTTGTTGGAACGTGTTGACCACTGCTTCATTTGCATCAGGCAGCTCTACAGGGTGGTTGATCGCTGACGGAATCTCAGGACGGATACAGAAGGCTCTTTTGGCATTTATTAGCCAAATTACACCATCTCTGGTTTAGTAGACGTGATATCCGGTTGTCTGGCTATCGACCGAAGGACAGGTGTGCTGCTCAGCAGTTCTTTCTGTCCTCCTCTATGGCTTTAAGTGAGACATGGTCATTGAAAGTGGAAGACATGAAAAGGCCAGATAGCTGTCTTTCATCATGGATGCCTGCGTCCTATCTCGCGTGTTAGGTGGTATAATATAGCGAAAATGATATTTAGTTGAAGCATCGATTGAGTGTTGTTTAGGTAATAAGGGTAAATCAGTCGATGAGTTTGTGAGATGGTTAGGACTTGTGTTACGTATGCATGCCTAGCCATCGCCTTCCTCGACGGGAAATGTTAGCTGGCATGGAATGGATCAGTTTGGAAAAGAGCTAATAATAATAATACTAATAATAATGGTTTACTTTATTCCGAAAACATTACTTGTGATACAGAATGGAATTTTCAGCATTAATCACAATATTGCATCTAATTTCCTCAAATTATAAATAAAATTAATCACACAGAAAAATTTTTCTACATTTACAATAGGGGTAATGTCAAAAACATGCAGCATATAAAATGGAAATAATAATAATGATAACAGCTAAGGTAATAATAATAATACAAGTGAAGATTTCCGTGGGCTTGTTTCACACAGTATTGTCGATGCGGTATAGAAATCCTAGCATGTTTAAAAATATTGAATATAATGTTCTCTTTACATGATATGGTGAGGGGAAAAACAAAAAGTACAGCAGTCATAGAGATAAGTTGGTGTTTGCAATTATGAAAGTAAAACAAAGAATCAACAGGACCATAAATATAATAGGAATAATAAAAGTAAAACTTGAAGATATATAAGGATGGATGGAGGAAAATTGTTAGTGGTGGTCAAACGAAAACATGGTTTAATCAGTCCATGAAATCCATTACAGTTAGTTTGAGTCAGTCACTTGGGAAGGTGTAGAATTCTGGCTGATTGGGTTCTTCAGGATAGTAAGAACCAATAGCGACTGGAGGAGACAGTTGTTGATATGGCTCAAAATTATCGTCGTCACTGGCATAGATGCAATTCACTCTTGTACCCAATAAACCTATTGTTCTTCCATATAATTACTATTCGCTTTCATTCACTCACACCTCTATTTATTATCTCTCTCTCTGGTTGAGTCTCTCTTTACTCTCTTCTGCTGCTTTGTGTGCTACATGGAAGGAGTGTGGCCAGTTGAACTGGTGCACATCTGTGCAAAGTTCCAGGTTGAAACCAGTCGGTTAATCAGTTCAATGGAAAATTGTAGGTCTTGTGAATATTGAGTTTAGAGATCAGTATTCAATATGTTTGACAAACATTTTAGCATTTCTTTACCATTTTTCCTTGGGCTATCTATCTATCTATATGTGTCTTTCGATTATTATTATTATTTCCTTTAATTCCTAGAGTAACATAGGGCTTCAGCCGTGCGTCTCCATTGCGTCCGGTTCTCTGCTAGAGTCTTCACCTGGCTCCAAATCTGCCTACACGTTTTCATCTCCTCTTCCTATGACCTCCTCCAAGTCACCCTTGCACTGACGATCAACTCACCGCTTCCCTTTCGGGTTCCACTCGAGCAATGGCTTGTCTAGTGATGTCACTTGATTGTTTGTTTCCTCAGAGTATGACCAGCCAATCCATCTCCATTTCTTCCTGCCTATTTGTTTCACAATCGGTTCCTGCTGAGTTGGTTCGCTCATTGCCAGAGATCTCTGTTGCTGATCTTTTCTGGTCGGCCATCCGATCTTGAGTATTGAGCGAAGACAACTGTTAATGAAGGTCTGTAGTTTGTTTGAGATGCTCTTTATGACGCGCAGTGCAAGTCTCTGATCCGTATAGTGAGTGGCACTGACTGACTTCACATTGGAGTTGAAAATCCGGATCTTATTTTTGATGCTGAGTGCTGTTGACCTCCACACAGACTTGAGAGTAATGAAAGCTTGTCTTGCTTTTCCGATTCTTGCTTTGATACTCTCGTCAGTTCCGTCCGCCTGTAGTTGAAACGATGCTTCCCAGGTAGGTAGGTAAAAGAGATTGTTTCTTTCAGGTTCCTTCCATTTATGCTGATTGTTGTCTGTTGTGGTTGTTCTTGTCCAGGAATCTTCATCACCTCTGTTTCCTCTATGTTCACCTGAAGTCCCTCCTATCTTTGATGCTTCTTCTGCCAACTTGTTGCTTTTCACTTGCATATCCTCCAGTTTGTGGGAAATCAGACATATATCATTGGCGAAATCCAGATCCTCCAAGTGTTTTGTGTGGGTCCATTTTATGGCTGTTTCTTCGTCTCCCGGCCCACTCTCTGTCGCATTATCCAATCTACCGCAATCATGAAAATCATTGGGGTTAGTAGATAGCCAGCCAGCCTTGTCTTACTCCTGTCCTCACTTCGAAGGATTTCGTAAGTTTCCTGTTGTGGATTACTTGGCATGCAGCATTGTCATACAACTGTTGGATGAGATGTATAATTGTCGGTGGCACCCGGTAGTAGCGAAGTAGTTTCCAAATCACCTCTCGATCGACGCTGGGCTATCGAAGGCCTTTTCAAAGCCGATGAAATTGAGCTGTTGTGTCTTTATAAGTGAGTATTATATATATATATCATCTGTTATGATGCTGGATCCTTTGTCCCGCGGTCACTGCTTAACTACTGACTATTGCCCACTTAACTGATAAAGCAGAACACGAAGAGAATCAACTGTAAAACCAGGTTCATTTATTATGACAAAATTGACTGTATTTATACAGAAAATAAGGTAGACTGGAAATCAACCAATCCGGTTGAGAGTTGGAATTGTGCAAGCGTCCAATCAGAAGCAGGAACAATTGCATGTCAATGACTTGTTAATAACGCGATAATAACTTGACTGATGACCTGATAATTGCATGTTTTGCCTCTTCCTAACATCATCGATATGTACTCATAAGCTTTTTTTTGTAACGCATTTTTCTTTTTTTTTTTTTGATTTCAGGATAGTCTATTTGCTGTTGGCGCATGTGGTTTATCATCTGTTGAAGAATCTGTCAATACACTTGTTCACTTATTAAATGAACGTGTTACACAGTTAATGCTGCATACACAAGACAGAGACAGTGAAGTAACAGTCAATTTGTTAGAAGATGTTCATTGGCTTTTATTAATTACAGGACATTTCTTAGTATCTGGTCCAGCTTCATTGACAAGTGTACTACGAACAAATTGTCCATGGGAAACACAATTTTCAGTAAGAATATTTTATCATATTCTGAAGAGATGTTTCATTTTATGTGTTATTGTACTCACACTATCCATCGAGATGAATTGACTGCTGTCTCTAGAAGTTACGATGAACACACAGAAACTTACTGATTGTTAGCGAGATGTTCTTCTTGGTTACAGGTGGCTTTACTCACCATTATTTTGTCGTTTTGTAAGTGCAGCCAGTCTTTATGTATACTCTGTGTGGCGTTAGTAGCTAATCTTGTGTGTAAACTGGTGTCTGCAGCAGCAGGTGCGATTGATTCACGTATATCTTACTCTTCTTACGACTTTTATAGATACCCCTAAATGTGCGTCGGTGGCGTAGCGGTAGCATATTCACCAACCATGCACGCGGTCCGGGTTTGAAATCCCGAGCGACGCACTACTACACCTCGCTAATCTGGTTTTAAAACCAGTAAAGAGGTAAAGTTGGACATTACTGCTACTGAGACTTTAGAGCTTCTGAAGCTAGAAGTCCTAAGTTCCACTGGTTGTGGAAAGGAATAAAATAAAATAAAAATACTAAATAGCAAGTATACTGAGGGGGGGTACCTAACCTGTCATATGCTCTGATGGTGTCCTCGTGACTTTTGTTGCCAGATCCCCCGAAGGAGATGAGATAGTACGCAACCTAATGGTTGTGTGCTATATGCATTTGTCTCGCCCTGATAAATATCTTTGCATCGATGGCACAGTGGCTCGCCGACCATGGAAATGGTTTGGGGTTCGATCCTCGGCCGATGCACTCCTTTATCTCGCTAAGCCAGAAATAAAGCTGGTAAAGAGGAAAGGTTGGGCATGAGGCTAGCAACCCTATCCTGTAAAAGTAACCACCACTGCTATAGAAAAATCCACCTCCAGCTTGAAGCCCTATGTTCCACTGGGAACGTGAAGGAATAAAAAAAAGTATACTGAAGGAAGATCGAAATCCGTATACAGTGGTAGTTCCGTCGGTTGCTGATAGCTGTGTGATATATCCAGGTATCAGTACAGAGATTTCCGTGTTAGAATTTTTTGTCAGTCGGAAATAGAATATCACTGAGTAAGGGTGAATTATCTGACATATAACTACTTAAACTTTCTCTTGAGTCTATCATACTCGATCCGTGCAATTAAGTCTTTAATTAAGTACTACAATATCTTTTGTCGAGCGAGACTGTTTCAGAATGTCGCCACCCATTTGACTTCAGAACTCACCGCGGCAGCGAATGGTGGTTTCCAGGTATTGATACTGAAATGACAACGCCTATCTGGTCAATTTTCTTAAAGAATAAACCTCTTAGCTTAATGGCACATAAACGAGTATTGATAGGGATCCAGTCGAGCACTACAGCCAGGGTTCGAACTCAGGAGCTTCCGGTTTCGGTGAAGTTATTTGAAGCAGTAGTGATGAGACATTGTGAGTGTTACTCAGCGATTGATGCTCGGAAGGCTTCGTGTGCTCTTGGAAGTGTGTGGGTGGTTGTTACTTCCCGACTGCTCACACCGTGGAAGTTGATTGATTCTTCCGATACCTGAAACAGAAAGACGGTTAGTGTTGCGTGACCGCGGAGCCCAGGGGACAACTGCTTGAGGCCGGTTAAACACGGCCTGTATGAACTGGTTTCTTGGATTGGTTCCGTATTAGTCAGCTTACCGCCGGTTGCAGACCACCGTAGGGTAAGTCAGGATGTACAGTTTTGGGGTCGACCTTTCCTAATCCCCTCTCTATTACCAGAGTGGAGAGACAGCATAGTTGGCATACTGGTCATCTGAAAGAAACACCTCACTGCTGTTACGTCCCTGTTCCCCAGCAGTACGACTTCTCCCACAGACCCCCAGTATAGTGTAAAAAAAGTTCTTACACTAAGCCGGTAACTGCTTTTAGTCTAATCGCTATCCTAACAACCTTCCTGGTATGGTAGGACCTGCAGGAACAATAGTTCCAGCCAGTGTAGCTTGTTGGGTCATTGTGATATGCAAGCCCGACCACCACATCAAGGTAGCAGCTATCGGTCATGGTTGGGATCCTCGGTACTGTGAAAACAAATGGTTGGAGACAGTTGGTAATTTGGCTAGCTCAAAATCGTTCTCAATGGCTGGCGCAGATGCATCCACTCCTTGTGACTTATAATACCCAATAAAACTATAAGGATCGTCGATACTGTTACTCTCTTTGTCTCATATCTCTGTTTACTATCTGCATATTGCATTTCTTTTTACTTTCTTCTCTTGGTTTGTATGCTAAATGGAGGGAGTGTGTTGACTTGAACTGCTGCACAGTTCTAATTTGAAACCAGTCAGTCAGTCAGTTACTCAGAGAACACCACTTGCAATTCCGTGCACTGGGCAATGAGTCACACCTTTTTTGTGTGTGAGGACTAGTGATCACTACCTGGATGTAGAAATCGCAGTTGGCGGAGCGGGGTTTGAACTCATGACCTATTGGGTTGAGAGTTGAGTACCTAGATCAGTAATAAAATATTCTTAGCTGTCTGTGTATCGCGTGTTCTCAGGATGTACACTGAATCATTTATTTGACGACTTCTACGTAGTTTCGTAAGTGTAGTTTAAACTTAAGCATTATATTATTATTATTGTTCCCTTGAGTTCCTAGTGGAACATAGGGCTTCAACTGCACATCTCCACTTGCTTCTGTCTTCTGCTGTACTTTTCACCTGCATCCATGTTAATACATACTGTTTCAGTTCCTCATCACACGATCTCCTCCATGTCACCCTTGGACGTCCCACTCGCCGCTTCCCTTTCGGGTTCCACTCGAGCATTAGCCTGACGCGCGATGTCACCCAGTGGCCTCCTCAGTGAGTGTCCAGTCCATCTCCACCTTCTCCTGCATATTTGTTGAGCGATTGGTTCTTATTTTGTTTGTTCCCATAGTTTCTTGTTGGTGATTCTTTTTGGCCATCTGATCTGCGGTATAGAGCGAAGACAGTTGTTGATAAAGGTCTGCAACAGGCTAGTTGATACAATGCTCCCTAGATAAGTGAATGAAGTAACCGCTTTCAAATCCCTCCCGTTGATGGTGATTGCTGGTGGATGTTGTTGCTGCTGTTGTTGTTGGTTGGTTATTTTCACAACCTCCGTCTTGTCTATGTTCACCTGGAGTCAGTCCTGTCTTTGCTGCTTCTTCGACCAGTTAGTCGGTTTTCGCTTGTAAGTCTTCGATTTTGTGTGACATCAAACATAAATCATCTGCGAAATCCAGGTCTTCTAAGTTCTTCACATCGGTCCAGGATATCCCTGTCTTCTCGTTTCCCACTGTCTCACGCATCATCCAGTCCACCACAATTAGGAATATCATTGGTGATAATAAGCACCCTTGTCTGACTCCTGTGTTTACTCCAAATGCCTCGCTGAGTTTTCCGTTGTGGATCACTTGACATGTGCCGTTGTCGTACAGTTGTTGAATAAGGTTGATGAATATTTGGGGTACGCCGTAGTACTTGAGTAGTTTCCAAATTACTTCACGGTCAACGCTGTCGAAGTCCTTCTCAAAGTCTGCAAAGTCGGGGTAGATGTTTGATTGCCACTCCATGTTTTGTTCGATGATGATGCGTTGAGTTGTAATTTGGTCAGAACATGATTTGCCTTTCCTGAATCCAGCTTGTTCTGGTCGGAGTTCTGTGTCCAGTGCGTCCTTTATTCTCTCCAGGATGATGCGACTCAGAATTTTACTTGGCGTTGACAGGAGCATGATTCCTCGCTAGTTCTTGCAGAGTCCTAGGTCGCCCTTCTTTGGTAGTTTCACCAGATAACCTTTCCTCCAGTCAGTAGGCACCTTTCCCTCTTTCCAGATGTTTTACAATAATGGAGTCAGCATATCTGCTGTCGTCTCTGGGTCCGCTTTCAGTGCTTCCGGGGGTATTCCATCTGGTCCAGCTGCTTTTCCAGATTTCAGAAGCTTGATAAAATATTCTTAGCTGTATGTGTATCGCGTGTTCTCAGGCTGTACACTGAATCATTCATTTGACGACTTCCACGTAGTTTGGTAAGTGTAGTTTAAACTTCAGCATTAGAAATATATGTGAATCTTTCCTGGTGTACTACCTCAGTTGATGACTGTTAGTTTACAGTTTGAACCATTTAAATTTGTATTTCTAACTAACCGCATTGTTTAATGTGTTAGCAGTCAGGTAATACATTAGAAGAATTTGTTTCTTTTAAGTATAGATGTGTAAACTGTTCAATGTTGTGTTAAACATTTTTTAGTTTTTTTTAAAAATATTTTGTTTTCTCTCTGCTTTATTCAGATTCCCCAGCAACTCTTATATCTAGGTTCTAATGCTACTGTTGATTTGGTGAATAGTCGTCGCCTAATACTGATGTCTGTTGTTCAAACTATTGACTTGAAAAGTAATTGGCCTCCGGAAAATTTATCGTATACACATGTTCCTTCGCTTGTGATGTATGTTTTTTGTTGTTGATGTTTTTATTACGTAACGTAACACTGATTTATTTTATACATGTTTAAACAAAGTTCCGGTTAAATAGTTCCAATATAATTTAGACATTGGATATATGATATTCATTATTATTCAGGCTGTGCTGTTACCCTTCTTGTTGTGAATTATTTTCCCGTGCTGGTGTTGTTCTGATTGTTTTATTCCTTGTTTTCCTGCTTTAAGGGGAGCAACCCACAAGGTCGCTTCTCTCTAAATTATAATTTAATGTGACAATCCCCTTCTCAGGGGTGAGACTAGCAACCCCACCCTGTAAACAAAGCTGTTACAGAAACTTCAGCACGACGAATCTCCTTGCACCAAAAGAAAAAGTCTGTGTGGGGTCATGGAATATCCGCACCATGTACGAGATCGGCAAAGCTGTCCAGATTGCAAACGAAATGAAAAGATACAGAATTCAAGTACTGGGAATATGTGAAAGCAGATGGAACGGGAATGGACTCACCAAATTGTTAACGGGTGAATCAGTGATCTACTCCGGTCACCCAGAAGATAACCACTCGCACACCGAGGGCGTGGCTATCATGATTTCACCAACGGCAACGAAGGCCCTGATGCAATAGGAGGCGATCTCGCCCAGGATAATGACCGCCAGATTCAACTCCAAATGAAGTAAATTGTCAGTTATACAACGCTATGCACCGACAAACAACGCAGACCTCGAAAAGAAAGAATGTGGGCAGACATGGAGCCAGATGAAGACTCTTGCAGAGAACCGAACGCAATGGAGACGTGCAGCTGAAGCCCTATGTTCCTCTAGGAATTAAAGGATACAATAATGATAATAATAATTGGGAGTAAGGAGACAGTAATACGCTGGACAACAGATAAGAAGACTCTAGAAGATCTGGATTTCACGCGTGGACGATTTATGTTTAATATCATACGAACTCGAAAACGTACAGTTGAGAAGCAACAAACTGGTTGAAGAGGCTAGTAGAGAAGAGAGGACCTCAAGTGATGAAGATAACCAACCAACAGAAACAACGACCAGCATCAATCACTATCAATGGAGGAGATTTAACAGAGGTTGCCTCGTTCAATTATCTAGGAAGCATCGTTTCAGCTACAGGCCAGTGGAACGGATGAAGATGTCACAGCTGACCAACGGGAGTCAGAAAGGCAAGATACGCCTTGATCAATCTGAAACCAGTTTGAAAATCTTCTGCACTCAATCAGCGTAAAGAACAAGATCGGAATTTTCAACACAAATGTGATGTCACTGAGTCGATCGCTGAACATATATGTAGGAGAAAATAGAGATGCATTGGTCGGGCATACGTTGAGTAGGTTATCGAGTGACAACACGTTCCAGGCCCTCGATTGGAACCCAGATGAGAAATGATGAATGGGTCGTCGATGCGAGGGTGACATGGAGGAGGTCGTTCGAGGAGGAGGAGGAGGTAAGAAACTAGCAATCGTGGGGCCAGGTGGAGTGGCCAGCAGAAAACAGAAGCAAGTGGAGATGTGTAGTTGAATCCGTTTGTTCCACTCGGAACCCAAGGGAATAATGATAATAATTATTATAAGAAGGCCGTTTTGTTTTTCTGAATGTATGAAAAAACAAAGCGATATTTCTGTTTTCACTAATGTTTCGCTATTTAATGCTGCTAACAGCTTTGTCTTAAAGCAGTAATATTTAAACCAAAATTTACAAAATTTCAGCTTATATTCATTACCAAAATCAATATCAACATAAAAGATGGTTGAAAAAGTTGTCCGAAGACACGCACCTCCACATCTGTCATTCAATATAGATCAGAAACGTCAGACGATATCAGAAGAGTACTCAATACGCATAAAAGGCAGACACACAAATACATTACAAAGACCAAATCCGTAAGGATTCGGAAGACACCACATCGGCCCAAGTGAACGTCCCCTTCGTCCCGTTCGTGTCCGTGAAGGTAAACTAGCTGTCAAAAGAAATGATATGCACTCCCTCGCTCATATCACTGCATACTGACCACCGTGGACATCGGTTCGACTGGGACAACTTTCAAATGTCACGACAGAGGAAACACCAATTAGGTCAGAGGATTTTCGGTAGCACTCATTAGGTACTATGACATAGACGAAATTTACAAAACCATAAAAAGGAAATCTCACGCACAAACAGTGAAAATTCAGGTTCAAGGAGCAATGAGTAGCAATACAAGTAGTCTAGGAGGTGTGAGAACTCACGAAATCTGCTAATCACGTTCAGCATTATGAGGAGAGATGACTAATGAACTCTTGGAGAAATCTAAAAGATGACTTCAAACTGAAGTACGCGCCGAAGATGTTGCCTAGTAAGTAGTATAATGAAAGCTTTCCAAATAAACTATCCAGCTCAGAAAACACAACTACATCAAAATCATCCACCTGAGCTACAAATCTTCTCCATCAATACTGGCGACTTCAACACTATTTTAACTCAAGACTATTTTATCACTTCACACATTGGACTCTGGAACCAGTGACAATTATTCAGGTGGTGCGAAGAATTTTAATTTTCTGATTACAGAAAGATAACCTTAATACCAAGCAAGATCTCGTTTATTACACACTGAGAGTATTTTGTTGTCTTGATCCAGAATGTTCATATTCTGTCACGTGTTGTCATGATTGACTGCTTGTCTAATATGATGTTAAAGTTCATTGAATGAATTCAGATGACTGACTCACCCATTTCGTGTTACTTACGATTCTCTATTTATTAAGTTACAATTTAATGATGACTTATCAAGTGAGATTCTATTCCAAAGACTTTCAAGGAGTATACGAAGAACATTTTATGCAGCACACCTATGTTTGTCATTCTCTAGCCGACGAATGATTGGGACGCAAACGAAGGATAAGCTTGATAGTTTTGCAACACATATGTGCATTTATCAATTCAACCTCACCTGCGGTGACAGTTATATTGGGCGTACTACTAGACAGCTTAGCCAACGTGTTAGTGAGCATCTCCCATCATGGTTTGGCAAAGGATAGACAAAAACAATTCGTAGCTCAATTTTGTCACACTTAATTGATAGTGGTCATGTAATCGAGAGAACGAGAGCCTTCAAAGTGATTCATCGTATCCCACCGAATCTTTCCAATAGACTTCGTATTCGTCTGCTGCACACAGCTGAGGCGATAGGCATTCGAACTATTAAACCTAAACTATGTATTCAAAAAACGTTCGTACAGCCATTATCCCTCCCTTGTTGGCCTATTAAGACATAACCAACTAATGACTTCTACACCACCCTTTGTTTATATTTTCAACCCCTTTCTTATCATCCCTTAATCTTATCACATCTTCATTATAAACGTGTTTCATTTCCTTCCCTTACAATCTAACATTACTTAATCGGTTCATTTGTTTTTACTAGCTTTTATAGACTACTTCCACCTGAACAGTTGTTTGTTTAATCATGCTGTTTTTTCATTATTCGGGTTATCACAGATTGCCTCATTTTTTCATCCTTATTATTGATAAAATCATTTTTATTATTACTATTATTAGTATTATAATTATTATTATCATTACTACTATTATGACTAATTGCACAATTTATATTCACCATCGTATTATCCTATAGACAAAACACCATGATTGGTTTATGTTTGAATTTTTATTTGTAAACTTATATATATTAGAGTTAAGCCTGATGAGATCTAATTGAAAGCACAATATTGTTCGCTTAAATGTGTTGTTCTAAATTTTACTGTGGGAATATTTCACATATTTACGATTCTTTTGTGTGTGTATGTGTTTTCTTCTCTTTATCTAGTTTATTATGTTCCCTATTTCGTTTGCTATGGTTACAAGTAATGTATTCTGTGGGAAGTGCTCAATTAGTTGCAGACAATTTCTGGTTAATGACTCGTGTTGCTGTCGCATATTTTTGTCAACATGTTGTCGATCGGCATACATTAAACGTTAGTTTAGTATTTCATAGATTTGTTTCTTTGTTGTTGGTAACCTTTTACCTTCTGAGTAACTTTCTAGGAGTTGGATTTGTCTCATATTTGATCATGGATTGATGTTACTTAGAGAACCATTGGAAATCCAGAAATACTGTTGTACTTACCTTCACCGGGATTTAAACCCTCGACCTTCCAGTTACAAGGCGAGTTCAAAGACCATACAGCCGTTGAAACTGGATTCAGTGGCCCATAGATTCCACCCCCCTTCCAGTTCTTGATTTTATCCTTTTCACCAGCCATTATGATCGGCGAGTATTTGGCCTCACACACGACCACCTGGTGGGCCCCACTGATCATGATTTCTCCGACAACTTCGTCCTGTAGTCAGTTACCAGTGAGCATTGACTAATGGTTGCCCTAAAAATCACATATTGATGGAATTCATAGGCAATTGGTTTGCCCCCGCCCTCCCCCAGTGACTGAATGGTCTGTGAGCTCGTCTTGTGTAACCCAGAGGTCCTTTGTTTTAAACCCCTATGTGAGTACCTACCGTCGAAGAGTGTCAAACGAAGACAAAACACCTAGTTGTCCAGTACTTCTTGCTTTATCTAATGGTTCTCTAACTGATTTCAGCTCGTGATGAAACTCGTAATAAATTTTTTTCTTTTAACCCTACTCTGTTTGCATTCAATGTACTGAAATCATTAAAGCTTACCAGGTGTGTCACAAATGCCACATAATCACCACAGTTATCCATAGAAGCGGAGGTGTTTTTTCACCAAAGTGAGAGGGCGAAAGCGGATGCCCGGCACTCTTCACCGGGTTGACTGTCCATTGGATGACAGTCTAGGGGAGATGGCTAAACCCTGATTCCAAACCTCCAACGATTGGCGTATGAAGCTCACTGGAGCTCACCGTCAGACGTATGGACAAAGAGCTTGTTGGATGTCCTGGATGTCTGGCCCCATTCAAAAAGGCGTGTGAACCGAACTCCGGTCACCGGCTGCCAATGGATAGTGGACTCCCTACTCCACTCCTACTGCCTTGTAGGTCACACTTGGTTGTGTAAAGGCTAGAGCTGCACTCTGAAACAAAAGGCCGAGTGATTCTGGGGACATCACTCGTACCAAATTCCCATGAAACTTCATGAACTCTCTTACAAACGTAACCCTGTCGCAAAACCTTGCATCAGATCGCCGAGCCTAGGCAGCGATGATTCGAGATGTTCATGAAGCCGCCGGCTCATCTTCCCGTAGGTGATAGCCGAAGTAAAGTAAAAGTAAGTATAGAAGCATATATCCATTCAGTATAATAGTATCGAAGTGTACTCCGTATCCCTATCCAGCATCGATACATCAGGTTTTACTTGACGTTGCTTAAATCACTGAAAAGCCGTTTGGTGAAGAGTTACTCTTCTCCGCGATTTCACTTTACAATCGCACAATACATATATATATATATATCGCGTAATGTAAAAAGAGTTAATTGGGTAGAAACTAAAGTAAAATTAAACAAGTAAATTGAGTGACGTAATATTGTTGGTATTAGATGGTTGAAGGCGATCGGAAGAAAGCCTTGGACCTAGGTTTCGTGCTAGTTGGCACTCATCAACAAGGCGTATCCACAACCTTGAAGGAACTCATGTCCCTTCTGAGATATAAACCCGCATCATCCAGTGTTGCAGTCAGAGACGTTACCACTGAGCTATTCAGGCTCGCGACTGACCTCCTGTAGGACTGTATTGGATATATTTGATTGGACACTAGTCAGTAACTAGTGTAATGTGTGTGTGTCTAGTCCGATCTTTGGTGCAGCCTGAATTCTCTCAGTCATCAGTTCCTTCAAGGTTGCAGATACGCGTTGCTGATGAGTGCCAACTAGCACGAAACTTAGGTCCAAGGCTTCCTGCCGATTGCCTCCAACCATCTAATACCAACAATTCATAGTGCACCGTAATGGGGAGCCACCTAGCATGGTGGCCACATTGCAAACATGACTGATAGAATTCAGTCTGCACCGAAGATAGGAATAGACATATCACACTAGTTACTGACTAGTGTGCAATCAAAAAAAGTGACGTAATATAATTGTTAGGGTTGAATAGAATTTAACTGAAATTTGAACGAGAGCTAAGTCAGTTAATAACAGTGTGGTAATAAGGTTTGGAAATTTAATCCAAAGGGGATGAGGGAAGAAAATACTGCAAATAAGAAACAAAAAGCAGAAACGTTACATATCCAGTGTTAAGATAGACAGATGAAGTCCTTTGTAGATTTGATGACTGAACAAACTCAGGGTTCAGGATTTAACATGTGATGAATTGCCATTGCTTCTACGGCCTGAAGAGGTTTGATTCGAACTCTCTTAACAAAATTCCCATGTATTCTGTAGGTTAGTGGATTAGCTTGGTGTCGAGATTTGATATGAGGTGTTCCAGGATAGAGCTACTGTGGCGGGGTGGGGGATCTTTTTTCCCCTCCTACATATAACCATGAGAGGGTGATTATTCGATGATACGTTTGGATAGCAAGCGCTGAGCACGAGGGGCATACTTTGCTCCACATCAGCAGGTGAATTGATAGATGCACATTGATGAGGTAGCCAGTGGTGGTGTGGTGAGAGCTGGCTGCTAGCCAAAGTTGGTAGACAGTAATTGACGTCAATGTTTATGTCCCCAATATTGGTGGTGAGAAAATGAGAACAAAGGCCTTGCGTAGGTGGATACAGTTAGCATATGGATGATCTGACACAGCCACGAAGAGATGTAAGGTTAACTTTCTGTGAGAAACAACCAATCAAAAGACTGCATTTTCTACTAACAACAATCTACAATGATGTACATTAAAATCTATAAATATGTGTTGATTTTCCTTAATAAACGATCTGTTGCCTGGCCCTTGTCTTCTGTTGTTACAGTGGTAGCTCATCCACGTTCTCGTTGATGAGAACCATTAGTTTCGTAGAGGAAATTGATTGAAGTTCAATCGGGAAGGTTTTTTTTGTTTAAATATGTAACATTAACTGCTACCAAACAGACTTTTATTTATGTATTTTTAATGTTTTTTTTACTTATATTTTAACAGTCCAACATTTCTCGATCACCAATTCTAAGTATACTACAGTCGGATTCAACACAACCGCCAGCAGCTCATCAAGGTTTATTATCAAATCAAGAAAACAACCAGCTATCTGATGGAAAAGAAAATCTTTCACCAGAAAATTGTTGTCATGATACCAATAAAGCTTGTATTCAAGGTCTTTTAATGTGTGCTCGTATAGCACTAGATATGTGGTCACATGAACCTCAAGTTCTCACGGCTTTGACAAGATTGTTAAATGTTCTCAGTATGCATTCACCTGATGCGTAAGTATGAGTACTTTTGTCAACTTTTTTATGATAGTGTTATCTCTCTTTCTAGTTGTCGTTTGAGATGAGTCACTGGTTTATTATAGCCGAGAAATACTCACTTCTGGCTCTCTTATATCCAATTGCGTGTGTTCTCAGTGGAATATAATGTTTAGAGGTTCGGGCTTTGAAGTTTCGGTAGCGATGTGGTTATTTTACGAGTTTGCGTTTTCCAGACTCACACGTCCAATCTTCCCTCATTTTACCACCATTACTTAGTAGGAGTGCGTCAACTGGCAATCGCGAACCCCGGACTACTCGCGTGGTTGTGACGAGTGTCTTATCAGTGAACTACCGAGCACAGTGGAGCAGTTTAATTGGCCTACAGCCACACTTAACCTACCGAACATCCAACATTTCCCTGAATGTGGGATATAGACACAGGTCCTCCTTCCCTAACTGAGGTTACTAAAGCTGTCAATAGTCTGAAAAAAGGCAAAGCAGCAGGACCTCATGGAATGACTCCAGAGTTATTTAAGTACGGTGGAGACAGTTTACTGTCTACATTAACTGAGGTTCTAGGCAGCGTCTGGGAATCAGAGGAAGTCCCATCGGGTTTGTGTAAGTCACTGATCATCCCGATATACAAGAAGGGAGACAAGTCTTGTTGTGATAATCACAGAGGGATTAACTTGACTAATATAGTATCTAAAATCCTAGGCTCAATAATACTGCGTAGACTAAGTGGTGCTCGGGAGGCACAAACACGAGAAAACCAGGCAGGTTTTAGGCCAGGAAGAGGGTGTATTGATCATATCTTCACCCTCCGATCGATTCTAGAACATAGGCATTCCTACCGGCGTCTAACAATCATTATATATCTTGACCTAAAGGCGGCATTCGATTCTGTCGACCGAGAGGTTCTCTGGCGATGCTTGGCTGTAAAGGGAATGCCGAGAAAATACATTGCACTGATTAAGACACTCTACTCTTACTCATGCAGCCAGGTGAGGCCTTACGGCGAGTTGTCATCTGAAGTGGTGACAACTAGTGGCGTCCGTCAAGGATGTCCATTATCCCCATTCCTATTCAACTTCATCATAGACGTACTAATGGACTTAACCCTAACTCACTTCAGCGACTCAGGGATTGACTTGCTACCAGGGAATAATCTCGTTGACGATATAGTCCTTCTAGTCGAGGACTCTGACAAAATGCAGAGTCGTCTGAACACCTTCAGCTGCAATCTATGAATGTTTGGTATGCGATTCGCTCCCGCGAAATGTAAGATGATGTTACAGGACTGGACTACACTGACTCCTAGATTAGAAATAGGAAGTGAAGTGGTAGAGCACGTTTAGTGCTTCACTTACTTGGGAAGTACCATCAGCCCCAACGGGTTGATCTCTGTCGAAGTCTCAGCACAAATAAAGAGAGCTAGTTTCGCATATGCCAGTTTACGCCGTCTCTGGCTTAGTAGACGTGATATCCGACTATCGACCAAAGGGCGTGTGTACTGCTCAGTAGTTCACTCCTTCATCCTTTATAGCTGTGAGACCTGGCCATTGAGAGCGGAAGACATGAAAAGATTAGCTGTCTTTGATCATAGGTGTCTGCGTTCTATCTCCCGTGTTAGGTGGCGTGGTATAATAAGGTGAGCAATATTGAGGTTAGGCGTCGAGTGCTAGGTAAGTAGGGGAAATTAATCGACGAGGCTGTGAAATTACTTCCACTGAGATGGTTAGGACATGTGCTACGTATGCCTAGTCATCGTTTTCCTCGACAATGGGCAATGTTAGCTGATATAGGGTTAGGCTTGAAAAGAGCTGGCGGCGGTCAAACGAAAACATGGCACCAATCAATGAAATCTACAACAGTTAGTTTAAGCCACGTAGGAAGATGTAGACTCCTGGCTGGTTGGGGTGTGCTGGATGGTAAACACCAATGAAGGCTGGAGACAATCGGTGATATAGCTCAAAATCGTTCTCAATGGCAAGCGCAGATGCATCCACTCCTTGTGACTCATGATTTCCAATGAAACTATATTGTTCTTCGTTATTGCTATACCTTTGTGTCACACCTCTGTTTACTGTCTCTAATATGCATTTCTTCTACTTTCTTCTCTTCCTTTGTGTGCTTACATGAAGGGAGTGTGGCGACTTGAACTGGCGCACATATGTGCAAAGTTCTATGTCGAAAAAGAAGTGTGTTACATGGAGGGAGAGTGGCAAATCGAACTGCTGCATATCGGTGCAAAGTTTTATGGTAAAACCAGTCGGTTGGTCAGTTGCCGCACTGAGTTTAGCACACACATGGTGAAAAAAAGAGGTTCGAAAGGATGGTAATAAGCAGAAATTTTATGGGTGAAGGAATAGTAACATTGAGAAACAGTCGGGTTGTATTGGGTCTGGCAGATCACGTAGGTAATGAATGCATCTGCACCACTGAGACGGATTTTTCGCCATATCACTGATCGTTTTAGAATCCTATGGATCTTAAGCAGTCAGGAGTCTACAGCTCCCTATCTGGCTAGCTCAAAGTTTTCATGAACTGATTCCGTGTTTTCCAATCTAATCGTGTCAGCTAGCATTCCTCGTCGATGAAGGCGATGAATACGACTACTGCTACTACTAGTGAGTAACGCACTTCCTAATCGATCGATGTAGCGTCACAACTTTTCCTAATACCCGACGCCTAACCTCAATATTACCTACCCTATTATACCACTTCACACGGGAGATAGAACGCAGACACCTACGAACAAAGACAGTTAGACTTTTCATGTCTTCCACTTTTATTGACCGTGTCTCAAATTCATAAAGGAGAACGAAGCGAACCGCTGAGCAGCACACATGTCCTTTGATCTATAACCAACGGGATATCACGTCTACACCAGAGATGAGGGAGGTTGGCAAATACCACACTAGCCTTTTGTATCAGTGCTGGTCAACACGGTCTACCACTTCACTCCCTATTTTTAATCTAGGAGTGAGTTGGTTCAGCCCAGTGCTGTAGCACACTACCTTGCATTTGACAGGAACGATATCACATGCCAAACATTCGTAGATTGCAGCCCAATGTGTTCAGGAGACTCTGCATTTTGTCAGCGTCTTCATCTTGGAGGGAGAGCTATATCATCTAAGCCACGTAGGAAGGTGTAGACTTCCTGGTTGGGGTCCTCGAGATGGCAAAAACCAATGGTTGGAAACAATTTGTGACATGGCTCAAAATCGTTCTCAATGGCTCATGTAGATGCATTCACTCCTTGTGACTTATGATTTCCAATTAAACTTTCGTTTTTCGTTATTACTATTCCTTTGTCTCACGCCTCTGTTTACTGTCTATATTATGCATTTCTTCTACTTTCTTCTCTTGCTTTGCGTGCTACATGGAGTGTGGCGACTTGAACTGCCACACAATGTGCAAAGTTCTATGTCGAAAACCGACCGACTATATCATCTGTATATTCTAAGTCAACGAGGTTATTCCCTAGTAGTAACACGTGAGTCAATCCGTGGGTTACTGATGTCAGTTAGATGATGATGAAATTATGCAGAAATGGAGACAGTAAGCATCCTTAACGGACAGCACTGGTTTTCGTTACAGTTGTCAGATGACAGCCCTCCGTCGGCTCTTACATGGCTCCGCATGAGTTTGAGTAGAGTGCCTTGATTAGTGCTTTGTAGTTTCTCACTTCAGTTGACCTTTGATTGTTTGTTTATAGTGGTTTCTTAGGTGACGCTATTATTATTATTTTCAATGTAGTTTAATTGTATTTAAGCATTTGAGCATGTTAAACTGACATTGATATTTTCTTTAACAGATCATCAACCTTAGCCTGTTCAGCATGGTACGAATTATGCACGATTGTCTGTGGTCCTCAGGCTTCAGAACAAACATGGCCTAATCTACCAGCAGACAGTCTTATCCAGTTAGTTGAAGCCTGCTTATGTGGTAGTTGGGCAATTGATAAAGCTCGTCTTTCTTCAGCATTATCCCACAATCAAACTTGTGAAGAAATGGACACGCTGCTACTGCAGGTATGTTTTTTAACCTTGTATTGTTTATTGCTTCGGGGATATTTTTTTCTGTTTCTCTCAGTATTAGTCCGTCATAATATTGTAAAGTCCCATGATATCGTCTCCTGTTCTTCAAATGTTGGTTTCCAGGGTTTTGATTTGATTGCGTTACAGGATTTCATCTTGATGAGCTGACGTTGGTTACAGAACCATTCGAAAACCAGTGAAAGAGAACTGACCAATCAGCTGTTTTGTCCTGGTCTGAGACTCTTCATCAGTGCGCACTCACCCTAGGACATTCCGGTCACAAAGTGAGCTTGTAGACCATTTAGTCGCTAAGACCCGATCTAATAGCCAGTGCATGAATTCCAACTTTTGCCAATTTACACACGATACAGCTTGATAACTAGCCACTGTCATGAGTGGCGAGAATTTGTCCTCACAACCGACCACTTGTTGTACCCCACAGGTTACGAATTCCTAGGTGGTAACTACCTATCTGCATACGACCAGTTACAAGTTATTATTCTGTTATTCATTTATTCTAATATATGTGTAATACTTGGGCACTGTGGTAGTAAGTAATTCCATATTAGTTTGTTTATTAGGTATATCACACAGTGAAACAGTATTATTTACTGGATGACGTTTCGAACAAAATTTATTGTTCATAATCATATCAATTGTAATCACACGACTTTGACACTTGAGTTTTATAGTTTTCTTTGTTCTCTCCTATTTGTCGTTTGGGTAGTAGAATTTTCCAGATATCTGGCTGGACAGGTGATGAATCATTCCTATTACATGTATTTGTAGTTGAATCGATAAACGAAGCTTCTGTTATCAATCTCTCCCTATACTCTGTGATATTAGATTTTAAAACTGTCATCCTATCCCATCCTATTGTATGGTTGTGTGTGACTGCATGTAGTGCTATAGCTGAACTATTCTCTAGATTTTTTATCTTATTCGGGTCAACCAATCTAGATTTTGCTAGGTTTTTATGTTCAGCTAGTGTGACTGCCCCTGTTCTACTAGTTTGACCTATGTATTTGACCTGACAATCATTCCATCAGGGTATTAGATAAACTAAATTGCTTTGTTTTAAAGGCTCTACAGGATCCTTTAGCCGACAAAGCTTGTTTCTAATTGAGTTTGTGGGTTTGAATGCCGTTTTTATTCCTGCCTTGTTAAGAATTCTGCGTAAGGCTTCCGAGGTTCCTTCTTTGTATGGAATTACTACTGATGATTTAGACTCTTTATTGTTGGTGTCGTCATTAATATTATTATTATTATTATCACTATTATTATTATTATTATCATTATATGAACAATATGAACATTATTATATGAACAATAAATTTTGTTCGAAACGTCATCCAGTAAATAATACTGTTTCACTGTGTGATATACCTAATAAACAAACTAATATGGAATTCATTTATTCTGTTTGTCAAAGTGTAAATTCACTAAATTGCCGTTTTAAACACAGTATTGATGTAAACTAAAACTTGCCATTTTGTCTTTCATATTTGCATAACTTTTATAGTTACTTCGTGAAATTCGACAACAAGTTCTTCGTGTAGTCAATATTCTCTCAGGGGATGGTGTTACATTTGGTTCAGTTCAAAATGCTGTGGCTATTGATGTATTAGTGAATTGTACTACAGTTCTACGAGGTGTATCACGTGCAACTGGAACAGTGGCATCGAGTAGTGAATCTGTTACAGACTTGATTTCTTTAGTTTGGAATGGTCTTTTAGCTCCATTCCTTTCAAGTAGTGCAAGTTATTTAGTTTTGGTAAGATTATATATATTGTGAATTTTTGTATTTATTTTTAAAACAACACATGGTTCTTCAGAAGTTAATTAGTGGATGGTAACTGGCAGTGGAATCCAGGATGTGCACTCCGTCCTGTGTGGGACTCGTCATCTGGATGTACCTGCTTTCCGAAGTGAGTGATGATGTTTCCATCGAGGCTCGAATCCAGTGCCCATAGTTTCAAACGCCAAATCGTTATCCACTAGACCACTTGGGTCATGAGAGTCACCTCTTGTGGTAACTAGCAGTGGAATCCAGGATGCGCATTTCGTCCTATTTAGGACTCATCAACTGAATGTACCAAATAAACATGAATCTTCAGTTTATTCATACCTGTTATTCATACACTCTGAGGAGGAGATCGTTGTTGAATGATATCGTACGCTAGGCACAACCTCAAGTGAAACGCGAATGGGAAAGGCCGACTTGTGCTTGGGTCTGACAATGAGATGAAGGAGATGATAGCTTATGGGAGATTGTGTGACCCGGCTAAGTAAGATTGCTGAGAACAGGACAAAGCGGAGATGTGCTGTTGAGGTTTTATGTTCCACTCGGAACCCAAGGGAACAATAATAGTAATAATATGGCCTTAATATATATATTGTAACTATGTTCTGTTTTTTTTTGTAGTTTTGCGTTCCTTATTATATTAATTCACGAAAAATACTCATCCCGACTTGGAAATTAGATAAAAAAGGTTCAGTGAAGAGTCTATTTCCAGCTAACTAAGTCACTTGGCTGTACAATCGCAATTATAGTATAATTATTTTCTTTGTATATGTGAGTATGTTACGCAAGGACGGCGATCTAAGTCTCTGCAAGAACTGGTGCGAAGTTGTGCTCTTGTCCACACCAAGTGTAATACTAAGTCGCGTTATCCTGGAGAGAATGAAAGATGTAGTGGATACAGAACTCCACCCACTGGAAGAAGCTGGGTTCAGAAAAGGCAAGTCATGTGTTGATCAAATTGCAACTCTATACATCATCATTGAACAAAGTATAGAATGGCAGTCAAGCTTGCACCTCAGTTTTATCGACTTTGTAATTGCCTTCGACTGTGTTGATCACGAGGTGATTGAAAAATGACTTCGACATTACAAAGTGTCCCAAATCTTTATCAACCTCATTCAACAGCTGGCTATATGGCAATGCCATATGTCAGGTAATCCACAATGAAAAACTCATTGAAGCCTTTGAAGTGAAGACCGGAGAAAGACAAGCTGGCTGCCTATTATCACCCACCATAATATTCTTAATTGTGGGGGACTGGATTATGCGTCAGACTGTGCACAGGGAGTAAGGATACTAGACTACGTTGGACGACCGACAAGAAGACTCTAGAAGATCTGAGTTTCGCGGATGATATATGCCTAATGTCACATAAACTCGAAGACTTACAGGCGAAAACCAACAAACTGGCTGAAGAGTCTAGCAGCGAAGTCAGGACTTCAAGTAGCATACAGAAAATAGAGGTGATGGACATAACCAACCAATCAAAACAACAAGTAGTACCGATCACTAACAACGGGAGAAATTTGAAAGAGGTTACTTCGTTTATCTATCTGACAAGCATCGTTTCAACTGCAGGTGGAACGGATGAGAATGTCAAAGCCTGTCAAGATTTGATAGGCATGGCACACCTCTAACACTCCGAAATCAGTTTGGAAATCTTCTTCACTCCGCAGTATAAAGAACAGAATACGGATTTTCAACACCAATGTGAAATCAATCATTTCTTCTATGTGGGTGAGAAATGGCGTGCACGATTCACGAAGAGCATTTCCAACAGGCTACTACAAACTTTTATCAACATTTGCCTTCTCTAACTTCATACTGAGGATCAAATGGCAAGCGAGAAGAATTTAGCAACAAGATATTCTGGGGAGGAGGCGTTTGGAGTAAACAACAGGAGTCAGACAAGGGTGCTTATTATCACCAATGACATTCCTAATTGTGGTGGACTGGATTATGCGTCAGACAGTGGGAAACGAGAAGACAGGGATATCCTGGACCGACATGAAGAACCTATAAGACGTGGATTTCGCGGATGACTTGTGTTTGATGTCACACAAAATCGAAGAATTACAAGCGAAAACCGACAAACTGGTCGAAGGAGCAGCAAAGACAGGACTCCAGGTGAACATAGACAAGACGGAGGTTATGAAAATAACCAACCAACAACAACGACAACAGAGGCAGCAACATCCAGCGCCAATCACCATCAACGGGAGGGATTTGAAAGAGGTTACTTCATTCACTTCACTTATCTAGGGAGCATTGTCTCAACTACAGGAGGAACGGACGAGGATGTCAAATCGAGAATCGGGAAGGCGAGAAACACATTCATCAACCTGAAACCAATCTGGAAATCTTCGTCACTCAGCCTGCATCAACAACAAAATTCGGACTTTCAATACAAATGTCAAGTCAGTATTGCTATACGGATCAGAAACTTTGTGGGTCACAAAGAATATCTCCAACAGGTTGAGGACCTTTATCAACAACTGTCTTCGCTCTAAACTGAAGATCAGATGGCCCGAAAGAATCACCAACAAGAAACTATGGGAGCAAACAAATAAGAACCAATCGCTCAACAAATATGCAGGAGAAAGTGGAGATGGATTGGACACTCGTTGAGGAGGCCGCTGGGTGACATCGCTCGTCCGGCCCTCGAGTGGAACTTGAAAGGGAAGTGGCGAGTGGGACGTCCAAGTGTGACATGGAGGAGATCGTGTGAAGAAGAGTTGAAACAGTACAGCAGAAGACAGAAGCAAGTGGAGGCGTGCAGTTGAAGCCCTATGTTCCACTAGGAACCCAAGGGAACAATAATAATAATAATAATATTCTGGGGACGAACCAATCAAGAAACTATTGTTCTAGAAATATATATTGGCGAAAATAGTTTTGGGTTAGGTAAATGCTGAAAAGACCATTAGGTGAGACCCACTCTTCAGATCATCGCTCGACTGGTACCTGAATGGGAAATGGCGGACTGGGCGTTTATTTGGAGGATGATATGAAGACGGCTGTATGATGAGGAGGTGGAAGACTGTGGACAGTTGGGGGGCCAGCTGAAGTGGAATACAGAACAGTTCCACTCGGAAACTACAACATGAGAATAAAAATTAGCTTGACGTATTCCCTATACACACCATCAAAACATTTTAACACAGTGATGAATAATCAAACTGCCCCTAGTTGGGGGAGGGTGTGAAGATTATTAAGACAGACTAAAACGTAAACTGAATGCTGATTTTATTGAATAAACACTCCTACCTCTGCGGTCATTGACTTGAAGTTTTGATTTCAATTTTAGAAAAAAACGAAATTCGAGCGAATAAATATTATTCCATTACTTTAATAAGTTTCTACACTGATATATAGTTCTTGTTTTTACATAAAAAGTTTTTACCAATCAACTGATTATTTTAGTTAATCAATTTTAGGTATAGGCGGGGGTGAGGTGAAATTAAGAGGTTGAAAGTCATCAAAACAATTAGCTATAATAGATGTTAGTGACAAGAGGGGTGGAAACTAAATAATTACGGAATTCAAGATAATTTAATTCATATGCATTAGCAACAAGTTATTGCGTAATCAATAAAATTTGTGAAATAATGATGACTACAGAAACTAGGATGACACTCATTAGAACGCGGTAAAATACAAACAAGTTAATAGAATTAGCTAGAATTGTAAAAATAACAAAGCCAAAAGGTAGTTAAAACCGTTTTTAAAAACTTAATACATATAATGAAAATGGCCATGGTATAGAAAAGGGTTGTACGAATTTCTTTTGAACGCATACACTGATTTGGCTGCTTCAGATGGATTCCGAATATGTCTGCTTTATGTGTAAAAGTCGTACTCGTAAACCGTGTAAGAGATTGGGTGATATACGATAAATAACTTTAAAAGCTTTGTTCGAGTCGACTTGATGTCCAGTTCCGACGAGATGAGCTAGTATCGAGCTGCGTATAGTAGCTTTATTCGGACCTTTGCCAAACCAACATGGGAGGTGTTCAGAAATTCGACAAAGAACTTGCCTGATCTTACGTCCAATGTAACTAGCTCCTCACGAGCGGTTAAACTAGTAAATACACATGGAATTGGCGAAACAGGGCAGTCTGTCTTTATTTCTTGAACTAAGTATTGGTTGGCTAATGAATATACAGCATGACTTCCCTGCGTTGAAAGTTCTTTTGAAGGCCTTTCTCAAACGTTGTGGTAAGATGTCACTATTGAAATCACACGTGAAATGTAACCTTAAGAAGACTGACTTTTTGGGGACATTTGACCCCTTCGACTTTTTGCTTTCTGAGTTGATGTGTTTATTCGAAAATTTATTCGAATATCCGTTTCTGCGTAGTAGGTCATGAATATTACTGAGTTCTTTGTTTAGTGTGTCATCTGAACAGGTAACTCTAGCCCGGCGAACTAGACGTCTAACCAGATTACGTTTGTATTGTAAAGACATGGATCTCAGGAAGTGATTATATAGTCTAATTGAAGTAGGTTTCCCATGCGATCGTCTACATATTGTTCTGCCTGTTCCTTTAGCCATTAAGATGTCCAAAAACAAGACAGAGTCATTTTCTTCCTCTTCTTTAGTGAAGCTTTTACCAGAATGTGCTTTATTGAATTTCTCCAATATGTTCTTAGTTTCACTTTCTTTCCTCACAACTATAACTGTATCATCGATATATCGACAATAGAAATCAAGATTATATATTACATCTTTAAGAGGACTGTTCTCTAGTTTAGGCCAGGAAAGCACTAGGATTGCACCTAGTTGTGATCCAATGGCAATACCATCTGATTGTCCATACATCTCTTCATTGAACTGGAAGTTTACGTTCATTGTGTACCTTAAAACAAGTTCTTTTAGAGAAGACACAGTCTCTAAAGCTTGCTGTATCAATTCATTACCGATGTAATCTATTGTTTCCATCAAAAGAAGAATACAACCATTGATATCATGTATTTATCCTTCAACTTTAACTCCCTTATTCTTTCCAAAAACTGAAAAGTATCTTTCACGCTATTTTTTCATGAGTTTTTAATTCAGTGGCTGTAAAAGTTCCACCAGCCATTCAGCAGTTGAATGGTATAGTGAGCCCTTCCTTCAAATCTTAGATATCTGGTTACTAACATGTATTAGTTAATTATTTCATGATTTTGTCTCCCTCCACTCCCACCGTGCTTAAAACTGATGTTATGACCAGAACTACGACCTGGTAGACTAATTTAATGCGTTGGCTAATCTGTCCTAATCGCACGTCAACAACAACAGCAACAAGAATAACACCGCCGGCACACAAAAAGTAAAGACTGGACGTCGATAAGAGAGCTTTTACTGTTTCAAACAACAGTCAAACTGCTAGACAGGAACTCTGCATGTATACACAGTTGGAATGACCTTGAAAAATACAGTGATTCCGTGATGCATCAAAAGTATTATAAGCCAATAGGAATCAAGTAATCCAAACAGTTGGAAAAATAAAGGGCTTACACCAGTGCGCGATAACTAACCAAACACAGTTATTTTAAGGTTTTAAGCAAAACTAGGTGTATATAACACTACACGCTGATGAACTAAAATAACCACACATGATTGGTAAAATTTTGATGTAAATACAGAAATTATTTTTTCAGGTATAGGCTTTTGTAGGGATTTACTTTGATTGTTTGGAAAATTTCATCATGAGCTGACATCAGTAGAGAACCATTCGAAAAACCTGAGAGTACTGGTGTACGAGCTTGTCTTGTAACTTGTTGAGTACTCCCATGTTCTCCAATAGTTCTCTAACTGATGTCAGCTCATGATGAAACCCTTCAACCAATCAAACTGCATCCCTACGAAAACCAATACTTGAAAATTCATTTGATGCTCACTAGCGACTGTCCCTATTCAGTCAGTGACCTGGGGTTCTAGTGGAAAGCTGTGACCAGTAGAGTGCAGCAGGTTGAAGGTGAGGTGGTAACTCATGGAAGAAGATATTGCGAAGTAGTCACTCTATGTGATGAATTGGCATAAGTTAAAATTCATGGGTTCAGCTTGTAGCCAGAAGGTCATGGACTCGAGCCCTGTCGGTAGGTGCCTACTGCTGAAGAGTCCTAAACTGAGACGAAACAGCTGTCCAATACTCCCAGATTTTCCAATGGTTCTTTGAATGATGTCAGTTCATGATGAAATTCTCCAACCAAAATATTAGTGTAGAGTCATATTAAAGTATATTTCTTTGATAAATTTGTTTTTTTTTTCTTTTTCAAATATTATCATAGCAGTTATACACAAATGTATTGATTCATTCATATCAGAATTTGTTATGTCTGGAAGACATTTTTCGTAATATTATCACAACTTTTCCTTCTTCTATTTGTTTTCAGAAATGTCATAATTATTCCGAAGCTGTACAAGCTTTATTCTCATTATTCGCTGATGTCGCTGATTCCTGTTTAATATATTTGGCTAATCTACCATCCTCGTCATCAACTTCAACTGATGGACCATCATCATCATCATTGTTGCAAGGAGATAAATCCATGAATGGCGGGAGCAACGGCAATGGTGTTGTGTGTGTGTCTAGTGCATTTCTCAACTGGATTGTTATCCTGTGTAAACATTATGCTAAAAACACAGAAGGTAAGCTTGTCAGGCGCTATTAGGATTTAGTTTGCAAGGATTTGATTGATTACAGGATATCCTCATGAGAAACATTGGGGAAAACTAACTTTGGAGTACTGAGCGGTTAACTGCTTCGTCCTAATTTGGTTCTCTCCGGTAGCATATACCCACAGGGGCTCGAACCCTAGACCTTCCGTTTACGATCAATTCTATAACCAATACTTGACTTATTTTTTATGTATGTGAAGTTTTGCTCGATTGATTATTAAAGTTATTGATTAATTGATCCCTTACACCTGTGTACTCTATTCATCTAATGATTACAGGTAAACTGAATTTCGATGCAACTGCTGAAGATGATCAAATTCAAGAACTTCGCCTACTCTTAAATCTTTTAAATCGTGTACTTTATCATGAATTTGAATTGAAATTAAGCGGAGCTATCTACGTGGTGGTATCCGGTGGTGGTGTGAATGATAAGTTTCTTGTCCAACCGAATTCTGATAGTGCTGAAGAGGTAACTGGGAATTCTGTGCCGACAATTGATGCAGCAGTAATTGGTCTAGGGCATTTATTACCCCTTATCACGGAATCTATATTGGCGGTAAGAAGTTACTAATTACTTTCGAATACATATAATGGAGATGTAGTTTTGTTCACTAAGCTTGAATGGTTTATTTGCGAAGCTTTCATTATGCCCCTTACTAGGCAACATCTTCAGCGCCTACTTCACTTCGTTGAAGTGACCTGTTAGATTTCTCCACGAGTTTATTAGTCATCTCTCCTGATGGCCTTGAACGTGGTTGGTTGTTTTTGTATGTTTTCACACCCTCTAAGACAAGGCTGCCTACTATCGCCAATGATTTTCCTGATTGCAGGAGATTGGATAATGCGACAAACAGCGGACAATGAGGAAACAGGCATAAAATGGACTCACACAGAAAACTTGAAGGATCTGGATTTCGCTGATGATATATGTCTGATTTTCCACAAACTGGAAGATATGCAAATGAAAAGCAACAAGTTGGCGATAGAAGAAGCATCAAAGATAGGAGGGACTTCAGGTGAACATAGAGAAAACAGAGGTAGCTGATGAAGATTCCTGGGCAACAGCAACAACAACAATCAGCATAAATGGAAGGAACCTGAAAGAAACTACCTCTTTTACCTACATGGGAAGCATCGTTTCAACTACAAGTGGAACTGACGGGGATATCAAAGCAAGAATCGGAAAGGCAAGACAAGCTTTCACTACTCTCAAGTCTGTGTGGAGGTGAACAGCACTCAGTATGAAAAACAAGATCCCGATTTTCAACTCCAGTGTGAAGCCAGTACTACTTACTATATGGATCAGAGACTTGCACGTCATAAAGAGCATATCAAACAAACTTCAGACATTCATTAACAGTTGTCTTCGCTCAATACTCAAGATCACATCGGTGTCAGAAATCCGAATTTTGTTCTTTTTTTACTGAATGCAGAAGGCTTTCGAAACGATTTCCGATTGATGAAGGTGTACTTTGCCTTTCCGATCCTGGCTGTGAGACCTGACCATTGAGAGTGGAAGACATGAGAAGATTATCTGTCTTTGATCATAGGTGTCTGCGTTCTATCTCCCGCGTGAAGTGGTATAATAAGGTGAGCAATATTGAGGTTAGGCGTCGATTGGTAGGGAAGGAGGGGAAATCAATAGACGAGACTGTGAAATTACATCGACTGAGATGGTTAGGACATGTGTTACGCATGCCCAGCCTAGTCATCGCCTTCCTCGACGGGCAATGTTAGCTGATATAGGATGGGTCAGGCTGGAAAAGAGCCAGCGGCGGTCAAACCGAAACATGGCACCAGTCAATGAAATCTACAACAGTTAGTCTAGGCCACGTAGGAAGGTGTAGACTCCTGGCTGGTTGGGGTGTGCTGGACGGTAAACACCAATGAAGGCTGGAGACAATCAGTGACATGGCTCAAAATCGTTCTCAATGGCATGGGCAGATGCATCCACTCCTTGTGACTCATGATTTCCAATTAAACTGTCTTGTTCTTCGTTATTACTATTCCTTTGTCTCACACCTCAACTTTCTGTCTTTATTATGCATTTCTCCTACTTTCTTCTCTTGGTTTGTGTGCTGAGTGAAGTTTGGTGACTTGAACTTCCGCACATATGTGCAAAATTCTATGTGGAAGACAGACAGACAGACAGACCTGTCCTCGCTGTGTCTTCAGCTGGATTTGTACTCGTTCTTATTCTACTTGGAAATAAGTTTCAGTGGTCTCATACAACCAACTTCGTTGTAGGTCATTAGCTGAGTGAGAATATAATTTGACTTCAGATATCCTTACTTATTTTAGTGTGACTTAAGCTTCGGATTTATTAATTTTATTCTTATTGATTATTTTTATTTTCTTCAAGATCCCAGAATTGTGTCAAGCATTTTATTCCCTGGCATCTTACACATGTGAATTACGTGCTCAAGGTTTTGTCGGGCTTACAGATCACCAACTCTCATGTTTCGGACGCCTTTTACGATTTGGAATATTCGGTGAGAATATTATCCAACCATCTAGGCGAGTGAAACCTTCATCTACAACAGTTGGCTCGTCATCATCAGGATTATCATCGTCAGCTCCAGCAGGATGTGTAGATAATTTAGTGATACAACAATGTCTAGAAATTGTGATTTCATTCACGGATCATTTTCTGGAGGTTAGAACTCGCACTCAACTGTGTATGACAGAAGAATTGCAAGCTGCTCTGCGTATAATCAGTATTATTGGTTTGGATACACAATTTCTCTCTGATCTGTTCAATTTACTAACAAGAGAAAGTTATTCAGTTAGCTTGGAAGCTGCATTTTCATCAGCACTGCTTAATCTAATCCATATTAATCCGGTAGGTGTATATATTGTTGATGTTTTGATGACTCATAACACTTAACCGAGGTGTGATTTTAATATTCTTTAAAAGATTCAATCGAATCACCATTTGTGCGCTAAGCTCAAATGGCTATATGTGAATTTTGTTGAGACCTGTACACATATCCCTCAGTTCTTTGTACATACAAACTCATTGGTAGATGAAAACCGATTCTCATTTCTGAGTCAGAAAGCAATGAACAAGGTTATTGCATATTAGTTTGTCTATTAGATATATCACACAGTCAGTGAAACAGTATTATTTACTGGATGACACAGTTTCGAACAAAATTTATTGTTCATAATCATATCAGTTGTGATCACACGACTTTGACACTTGAGTTTTATAGTTTTCTTTGTTCTCTCCTATTTATCGTCGTAGGGGTAGTAGAGTTGTCCAGAAGTCTGCGTGGACAGGTGATGAATCATTCCTGTTACATGTATTTGCAGTTGATTCGATAAACAAAAATTCAGTTACCAATGTCTCCCTATATTCACCCTGTGACATTAGATTTTAAAACTGTCGTCTTATCCCATCATCCATTATTGTGTGGTTGTGTGTAATTGCATGTAATGAGTGGCACAGCTGAACTATTCTCTAGATTTCTTATCTTATTCGGGTCAACCAATCTACATTTTGCTAGGTTTCTGTGCTCCGCAAGTTTGACTACGCCCTGTTCCAGATGTTTGGAAAATTCTAATACCTCTACGAAAAATAAGGGTAGGAATAAAGAAAACTATAAAACTCAAGTTTCGAATTCGTGTGATTATAATTGGCGATATGATTATGAACAATAAATTTTGTTCGAAACATTGTCATCCAGTAAATAATACTGTTTCACTGACTGTGTGATATATCTAATAAACAAAATAATGTGGAAATTCAAGTGTTGGTTTGTAGGGATTTGATTGGTTACAGGATTTCATCATGAGCTGGCATTAGTTAGAGAACCATTGGAAAACCTGGGAGTGCTGGACAGCTGTTTCGTCCTAGTTTAGAACTCTTCATCAGTACACACCCACCGGGATTCGAACCTAGGACCTTCTAGCTCACTAGCGACTTGCCCTATTCAGGTAGGTCGTTACCTGGGGTTCTAGTGAGAAGTCGTGACAAGTAGGGTACAGCAGGCCGGGTATGAGGGCAAATACTCGTCGAAGACATTGGCTAGGCGTCGCGCTATGTCGTGAATTGGCAGAAGTTAGAATTCATGAGCCATTGGATTTGGTCCCAGTGGCTTAATGGTATACCAGCTCGCCTTGTAACCGGAAGGTCCTGGGTTCGAATCCCGGTGGGTGCGTACTGATGAAGAGTTCCAAACTAGGACGAAACAGCTGTCCAGTACTCCCAGGTTTTTCAGTGTTCCTCTAACTATTGTCAGCTCATGATGAAATCCTGTAAAATAAAGTGGAAATACTTACTACCACAGTGACCAAGTTTTACACATATATTAAGATGAACAAGGTGACTTGGCCATGGTAGACTGTAGAATGGAAAAGAAAACAAGATGGCGGGTTAGATACTCCTAGCATTTTTAGGAAACCGAGTCACACTCTACTACAAAATACTTAGACGATAGCTAGTCCCATCTAGAATCGGTAAATTCCATATTAAAACAAGCAATAAAGGTTAATAAAGCAGGATTTAATGAATTCATCAAATTTCGGCAGAACTCGTCAGCTGAATACTCTACATACACGGATATATACTTTTGAAGTTACATTGGGAGATATAGGACTGATAAGTAAATAAACTACATTGAATTAGTCATGTAGAAAGACAGGTGCGAATGTTTTTCCAGGTCATGTGCAATTAGATAAGGGGAGAGAGAGTATGGGAGATCAAAATTAAGATAAATTGCAATTCTTGTTAAATTCTCTAATGTCTAATTGTTTATCTAAGTGATGTAATTGAAGCGTAATGCAATTTATCTTAATTTTGATCTCCCATACTCTCTCTCCCCTTATCTAATTGCACATGACCTGGAAAAACATTCGCACCTGTCTTTCTACATGACTAATTCAATGTAGTTTATTTACTTATCAGTCCTATATCTCCCAATGTAATTTCAAAACTATATATATCCGTGTATGTAAAGTATTCAGTCCTATATCTCCCAATGTAACTTCAAAAGTATATATCCGTGTATGTAGAGTATTCAGCTGACGAGTTCTGCCGAAATTTGATGAATTCATTAAATTCCATATTAGTTTGTTTATTAGATATATCACACAGTGAAACAGTATTATTTACTGGATGACGTTTCGAACAAAATTTATTGTTCATAATCATATCAATTGTAATCACACGACTTTGACACTTGAGTTTTATAGTTTTCTTTGTTCTCTCCTATTTGTCGTTTGGGTAGTAGAATTTTCCAGATATCGGGGACAGGTGATGAATCATTCCTATTACACGTATTTGCAGTTGATTCGATAAACAAAGCTTCTGTTATCAATCTCTCCCTATACCCTGTGACATTAGATTTTAAAACTGTCATCCTATCCCATCCTATTGTATGGTTGTGTGTAACTGCATGTAGTGCTATAGCTGAACTATTCTCTAGATTTCTTATCTTATTCGGGTCAACCAATCTAGATTTTGCTAGGTTTTTATGTTCAGCTAGTCTGACTGCCCCTGTTCTACTAGTTTGACCTATGTATTTGACCTGACAATCATTGCAGGGTATTAGATAAACTAAATTGTTTTGTTTTAAAGGCTCTACAGGATCCTTTAACCGACAAAGCTTGTTTCTAATTGAGTTTGTGGGTTTGAATGCCATTTTTATTCCTGCCTTGTTAAGAATTCTGCGTAAGGCTTCCGAGGTTCCTTCCTTGTATGGAATTACTACTGATGATTTAGATTCCTTATTATTGGTGTCGTCATTAATATTATTATTATTATCACTATTATTATTATCATTATTATTGTTATTATCACTATCGCTACTATCATTATTTATTTTATTTTTACATTTCCTTACATATTTCTTGACTAATTTATCCGGGTAATTATTAAGTTTCAAAGCTTCTTTTATGTGTATCAGTTCCTGTTTTAGATTTTCTTTGGTACTACTTAGTTTTTGTGCTCTGTCATTTAAACATTTCACCAATCCTATTTTTACTGACATAGGATGGGACGATCGGAAGTCTAAATATCTGTTTGAGTGTGTGGGTTTCCTGTAAACACTAGTGTTTAACTTCCCATCTTCTTTCCTCTTTACGTTGCAATCTAACATTGGGAGCTCCCCTTCCTGATTTTCCAATTCATAAGTGAATTGAATTGCTTCAACCTTCGAGTTGATGTGTTCGAAAAACCTATCTATATCTTGTGTTTTAAGTACAGTGAATGTGTCATCTACATACCTCCACCATACTTTTGGGGTGGGGGTGAACGTTTCAATCGCTATGTTTTCCCACTTATCCATGAATATATCTGCTACAACTGGGGATATTGGTGATCCCATGGCAACTCCTTCAGTTTGTTTGTATATTTTCCCTTGAAATTTAAATACTGTGGAAGTCAGGCATAGCTGTACTCCCAGCATTATGTCCTCAAGTGGCACTTTTGTCCTAAGTTCGAGTTCTTGGTCAGAAATGAGTTCGTTTCTGACTGCCTCCATAGCCATATTTATTGGTATACGTGTGTATAAACTGACAATGTCAAAACTAACCATTTTCTCTTCATTATCTAATTTTAAATTATCTAATCTATGTTTTAGTTCATAAGAATTTGTTAGTCTAGATTTTGAGTGTCTTTTAAGGGGATTTAATACCATGGCTAAATATTTAGATAATTCATAAGTAGGTGAATTTCTAAAATCAACTATAGGCCTAATAGGGTATCCTGACTTATGAACTTTAACAACACCATACATCCTACTGGGGTTATTAGTTTTGGGCATTAAATTAAACCACTTAGACTCACCTAGAAACGGCTTCATTCGGCGTATAAGGTCCGCTGTGGATTTCTTAACTTTATTCATAACTGTATCTATTGGTTTATTAATTTCCACATATGGTCCTGTTTGTATGTGAGTATTTACCTTGTCCAAATAGTCTGATTTGTCTAATACTACTGTTGCATTTCCTTTGTCTGACTTTGTGATAACTATATCCTTGTTATTCTTAAGGTGTTTCAGGGCTTCTATCTCTTGTTTTGTCAGGTTGGGTTTTCCACATTTTTGTCGTTTTAATGTCAGTGCACACTGTGCTCGTATTTCATCAGCCGTGGTTTTTGTCTATCCCACTTAGTGCTATTTCTATTTTTTTTCTATTTTTTCTATTTTCTATTTTTTTCTATTTCTACACATATATTAGAATCGGTAAAGATAGGTGGGTTTAGTCATATGTGTGTCTATAAAATCAGTCGTCCAGGTACCCAACTAGTAAGTTTATCAGGAGAGATTTAAATAATGAAATCAGATAAATTAAGAAAATTTTAACCACCAGAATTGATTCAGAAATGTATGCGGACCAACAATAAAAATAAGATTTGTAATGAAAATGACAAAGAAAATAATATAGAAATCAAAGATTTTTTAGGTTTTTTTATTCCTTTACTTTCCCAGGGGAACATAGGGCTTCGAGCTAGAGGTTTGAAGTTTCTGTAGCAGTGGTGTTTACTTTTACGGCCACCGACGCACTCTTTCACCTCAATTAGCTAGTAATAAGACTGGTAAAGAGGGAAGGTTTAGCCAGGTGAGGCTAGCAACCCCATCCTGTAAAAGTAAACACCACTGCTACAGAAGCTTCAAGCCTCTGGCTTGAAACCTCATGTTCCACTGAGCAATAATTTATGTTCGAAACGTCATCCTCGTTATTAATACTGCATCACTGTATGTTGTATCAAATAAACTTATCTACTACGGAATTGCATTTTACCATGGTGCCCAGTTTTACACTTATCTTATCTTTCATTTTGTTGATTTAGCATATATGGAAGTCTGGTGTGTATCTTACTTTACTTTACTTTACTTCGGCTATCTCCTACGGGAGGATGAGCCGGCTTCATGAACATCTCGAATCATCGCTGCCCAGGCGCGGCGATCTGATGCAAGGTTTTGCGACAGGGTTATCCAATTCTTGTTCCACAGACGGAGTCCGTAGACGGTTTTTTAGCCCCAGGCACTCCATATCGGCCTTGACTGTACCAAGCTTCACACTGGCCACCGGGTGAGCACAGAGCGCGTCGCTTACCGGGAACGCCGTAGCATGGTGAGAGTCGTTTGTAAGAGAGTTCATGAAGTTTCATGGGAATTTGGTACGAGTGATGTCCCCAGAATCGCTCAGCCTTTTGTTCGAGAGTGCAGCTCTAGCCTTTACACAACCAAGTGTGACCTAGGAGTGGAGTAGGGAGTCCACTATCCATTGTCAGCCGGTGACCGGAGTTCGGTTCATACGCCTTTTTCAATGGGGCCAGACATCCAAGACATCCAACAAGCCCTTTGTCCATACGTCTGCCGGTGAGCTCCAGTGAGTTTCATACGCCAATCGTTGGAGGTTTGGAATCAGGGTTTAGCCATCTCCCCTAGACTGTCATCCAATGGACAGTCAAACAGGTGAAGAGCGCCGGGCATCCGCTTTCGCCCTCTCACTTTGGTGAAAAACACCTCCGCCACGTGAAGGCAGTGAGTAGGACTTCCTCAGGAGAAGCTATGTAAGACTCCCGGTCATATGGGAGGATTTCAAGAGGTGTGCGGAGGGGTGGGCAACCCGCAGCGCAAGGCACCCACCCCTGACCATCCTGAGGCTTTGGAGGCTCTGGTGTGTATCACTTCGGATACTTTTATTTGTTTTATGGTATGGGCACCAAGCGAGATGCTCCACGCAACAATATATAAAGAAAATAGGAAGAGACTGAATGAGGGACGATTTTATTTGGAAAGCAAGAAAACGAGCCTTATTAATCAAGGTCATCCTACATTCATTACTTCAATGGTACTTTCAGAAAGGGAGAAATAAGGAAGCTGATGCATGTCCGTCATCGATTGCGATTCTTGGCCATACTTGATAATAACGTTTCGAGCCTCTTATTTAAACTATCTTCCGGGTCCCAGATATAGATTTATGCTGTACCATCTGATGCTAGCCTTACAGAAATATCCTGTATCTCACGGGAACACATCATAGGCTGACCCATTCCCCCTCTCTCTTCATCTAGTCTCAGGGCTAGTGAATAGAGAGCAGTACGAAAGCCTCTGATGATGCCATCAAATTCGGTATTTCCAGATGACAACATTCAGTAAGCCATCAAATTCCGTATTTCCAAACAAATGCAACCGGACCTCAGAATCGCTCACACGATAATACCAAGTCAAAAATGAACACAGCTAGAAATTATGATTGTAGTTTGTTGTAACAGTAAGTTATAGGTTCCAGGCGTAGGTGTTACGAACTTCCTGAAATAATTTGAGCGCCGAGTTAATCTGCTGAAGAAGCTGTGGCTTACACAGCGAAACGTTCAGAAAAAATCTTGTTTTGATTTTCTTAACACGCTGGGATTAATTTAAATAATTTATAATGAAGTAAGCGGGTTAGTTGGTAGGGATTGACGACCGATTGATGTCAGTTAGAACCAGAACCATTGAAAACTAATACGGAGTACTGTACAGGCGTTTCGTTCTGGTTTCGGTGGGTACGAACCCGCTGGCGTCAGAACTATGTTTGTTTGTGCGCGATTACTGAAATACTGACTGGACACCGAGACTCCGAAGTAGTTGCTTGGTTGTCTGACTGACTGGTACAGATAAAGTTTTAAAAGTCAATCTGAACGAAGAATATTCTTTTCAATAATTTCTCTTCAGGTTCTTACAATTATAAAATATAATATTTGTTGTCGTTACAATAATGGCCAGTTATGCGGCGGATACATTTTTTACGTAGAATAACAGATTAGTAGTTATGGGGTGTCAAAATAAATAGTCGTATTTGTGTGACAAACGTGCTAGTTGGCTGAAATCGATTACAAAATATTGTAAAATGGGAGACAATGGTGGTGATTAGTCATAACAGATTTGTAGAGTGTGGGGTTATTAAAGGTGTCAAGTGAGTGGCTAGTACAAATTAGTATGTATTAAAGAGGAGACAGTAAGACTGCAATGAGAGGTTCATAATAAAATAACGAATGTGTGAAATGTAACAGGTGGAGGCATATATTGAGAAAAGAGATAATATCACTAATAATAAGTCCGGATAGTATAAATGGAAAATTCGATAGTATTGAGAGAATGTTTGCATGAAGGGCATAAATTATGACGAATAATATTAATAATAATTGAAATACTAAGCGAAGAAAGAAAAAAAACCAAGAGAGTTAAGTGGCAGAAACACTCTTGGTGAGAAGAAGAATCATCAATCCAAGTTTGGCCACGATAGGAACAGCGTCTGGACGTGTTCTTTTTGGATACAAAGTTCCGGTTTAGTCGATCTTATTGCAACAGCTTCAGCTATGTGTAGAAGACGTAAGCGAACTGTACGTGATAACGACTTCGGAATTTGGTATATAACCCTGAAAGCTGTGTTGACATCGATGCTATGTCCAATATCGACCAAGTGTGACAGGATCGAGCTTTTTATGCACTTAATTCCCCCCCCCCCTGCTGGACCAACCAAGCTGGTAAATGTTCTCGAACCCTTAGACGAACCTGCCTAGTCCTGCGCCCTATTTAACTTGAACCACAGGAACAGTAGAAAAGTTTTCTGATTTGGTTTCATTTTAATAATAAGTCATTTCAAATTTTTTTTGGTTTCAGACTGCCTACTCACAACTTATTCATCAATGGATTAGTGAATGTGGCAATCCAGTTATCCAATCTCGTTTAAGCGATGCTTTTGAACATTTAGGCGGTAGTTGTAAAACTGGTGAAGATGAAGGCCAAGTCGACCAATCAAAGTCTCCTGATCACATACTTAGTAACAATAATATTAATAATAACAGCAACAACACCACAACAAGTACATAGCATGTTTCACGGAGAATAAACCAACTCGTTCAGCTAGATCAGATTTTCAACAACGATTTCATTTGTTTGTCGCTGAAATCCGTTCATTCATATGTTTTGGATAACTCATATTTGTTTGTTTGTGTGTGTGGGTGTGTACATTCTGTCAATGATGTTTTATTCTCTTTCTGTATATGTTTGCATGTTTATGCATGATGTTCCATTCCTTCCAGGGTGTTGGTTGTTAAGGTATACCAAAAGAAAAAAGAAACACAAATAACAAAATGAAGGTGTATACAACTAACTAACTAACTAACTCTCTTCTTGTAACTTGCTTGCTTGCTTAACGATTTTAATTTTACACTCATCTCTGCTTTGTTTGTTACTCTTCTAGAATGGTTGAGATTATTTGTACATATTTATTAGATTTTTTTTTAAAAATTATTATTATTATTATAATGATTTTTATTGAAATTAATCGTTTACTCAGCTCAGCTCATCTCATCTTATTTTGTCTCCCTAAGGAATTACGTCATTTTACTTAATAAGAAATAATAATAATAATTAATGTAGTAAAAATCGATGTTTACTCTTTTTCGATTTCTGTTGGTATATTATTATGACCATTATTTTTATTATTCGCTTACGTTCGGAGTGAAACATAGGGCTTCAACAGCACTCTATCTCCACTTTGTTCTGTTTTCTGCCGTCTTTGACTTTGTGATGTGTAGTCCTGGTTGCTCATGGAGAGGTGAAGCATGAACATATAGACCGTATGAATAGCAGAAAAGAGTTTCTAGTGACAGTTTGTTTTTTAAAAGCGAAGTGTATTTTATCAGAATAATGTGGTAACGGTTGACAGTAACATTCAATACATGCATTGACATGGAAGAATACATACCGTGTGTGTCATCTCAGAGCATTTGTGCTCTTGGATTCGGACATATAGAGGATGCCTATTTTGACCGGTGTAATGTATATCGCAGTCCATGAAATTGATTTTAGAAATGGTGTTAATTTGATCTTCCTTATCCGTCGATCTTTTGCTTTGCACAATATCGAATGAAGTGATTGTGTCGGCTTATGAGCTATATCTACTTCAAACGGTCTAAATATTATAGCCTTTATTTCAGAGATATTTTTTCTATATTTGGCTAGATGAATTTTCGTGTGGTCTTTGATTTTGGCTTGTTGTTGATGTTACGATTTTAAACAGTTTTTGATGACATTGTGAGGATATCCATCCTTTTTGAAGACAGTTAGTAGTTATTTCACCTCCATTCTCTTCAACACTGGAGTGCTACAGTCTGTTTGAACTCTTTTAAACAATGTCTGCACACTATTTCTTTTGTGAGTAATTAAGTTGTTGCCATTATAATTGAGTGTATTTGGTCCGTGTGAGTTTATTTTCCATAAACTGGCTTTCCTAAATTTCCTGTATTAGTTCTCATGATTAAGAAATCTAAGAACGGAATCTCGCTATCTAGTTCGACTATAATTATTTCAGTCTTCAGCACATTAGGTATCTAAAGTGCTTTCCAACTGACTTATTTATAATTATTCGCTTGCGTTCCGAGTGAAACATAGAGCGTCAACAGCACTCTGTCTCCACTTTGTTTTGTTTTCTGCCGTCTTCTTCATCTGGGTCTACGATTGACCAAACTCTCTCGTCTCTTCCTCACACGATTTCTTCCATGTCACCCTCGCACCGACGACCTACTCGTCGCTTCCTATTTGGATTCCACTCGAGTGATGGCCTGGTGTGTGATGTCATTCGGCGGCCTCCTCAATGTATGCCCGCCATCCATCCATCTCCACTTTCTCCTACATATTTGTTGAGCGATCGGCTCTTGCCTGTTGGTTTTTTTCAAATAGTTTCTTGTTTGCTTATTCTTTCTGGTTAACTATGTGATCTCTGCAGTATGGAGCCAGCCAGCGAAGGAGGCAGCTGTTGATGAAAGTCTGCAATTTAAATGTCTTTCCAAGAAGAAGTTACAGTGTTACTGGAAAATGATTCATTGAAAATACCAGTGAAAGTATAGCAAAATGTCAGCACAATTATTGAGCATAATAGCTGATATACCATCTGGACTAAGGGACTGGGTAGGTTTCTGGTATTTGAGACACTTGAAAACATCGTTTGAGTTAAAAGCTGGGAAAGCAGTAATTATTTGTACTTGAAGCATATAGTATCAGTACCTAAAACTTGAATTGACTAGTTGTTTGTGTCCTCTCTGTCCCCCGTTAAGCTGTATAATATAGTGACAAATATAGGGGTTAGATGTAGTGTTAGGTAGGTGGGCTGTATATCTTCATCGATTGAGGAGATGGCTACGACATTCGTTACATACGCCCAGCCGTCATTTTCTTCGTCGAGCTATGTTAGCTGAAATATGATCAAGCATGGTTATATTAAAACACGATGTCAGATCATGAAGTGTTTTAGTCAGGTTTTTGTATGTAGCACTTTTGAATGCAGAGGTTTGGTTTCATATCCCAAATAGCTAATGATTCAGCTATGTACAGATGGCGTATCCGAAGTCTTATCACGCGATACTGAGGGACTCTGTGTAGCACTGTGAAGCATTCATGCGAGGATGCTCGATTCCCAAAGATGAAAATGTGTTAGAGGATGGAGCTGCTGCTGTTCTTCTTTTCTCCTCTGGTTAACCAAGCTGGACAATGTTCCAGAATATGTTTGTGGACTTGACGTTGCTTATGGCAGATATACTTTGCTCCACACGAGCAAGTAAATTGATAAATACACATTGAAGTGGACAAAAGTGGTATCCGATTCTTAACGTAAGACTGGATTAACTGTTTTCTGGAGAATGTGATACGTAAGGTGGCTGCTTGGAATGTCTTCTTCAGACATTTAGAAAGGCGGTTTCTAAGAATTTCTGCTTCGATGTCACCTTTGAATTCCAGGTTCATGAAGAGAGTTTTCTTAGGAATAGTTTTTTGACGATAGAGGCCACTTGTGTGCTACATGGTGTGTGGCAACTTCAGATGCCATACGTCTACGCTCAGTCAGTCTCCATGAACTGGGAAGATGAACATTTTGCACTTGATGTAGTGTTTTCATCTAGAGGAAATACAGCTGTATTGCAGGAAAGCTAAGCACACCATACTCATAGCAGACGCAACAGGTTACATTGACTTCTGAGTTCTTTAGAGAATTTTAAGTGACTTGTGGTAGTTTGAAACTATAGGGACACAATAGATTTTGGTGAAATAGGAAATGCGTACTAATCATGTTATCAACAACTACTTGTCCTACTGATCTGGGTTCACTGTGCCAACCAAATACAAATCAAGATACAGGATACCGATTCAAAAGATTTATTCGGCTGAATTTATGGTATCACACTGTAACTCATAAAATAACTCAGTCATCAGACCAACTTAGCTGCTTGTTGAAAAATTGCTTTTCAGATGTACACCTCTCTTAATATAATTAATAGCTGTAGGAAATATTAACCGGAAAAATAATAGACTTCAATGATACACAGGATAAAAAATGAAGAAGAAACTTAAAATATGGTTGACTTCAATCTAATACTACTTGTATCATATTAAGTAGTAAATAGAAATTGAATAGATGTTGGTTACTAAATGCAAAAGTATCAGCTATGTCCAGTAATTTGATAATAACACAGAGATACAGTGCTAATAACAGGATAACGCTTCGAGCACAATTTACTGCTCATAATCATATCGGCTTCGTTACACGGCTTCACAACTTGTGTGGTGAGAGATAGCTGCTAGCCAAATTGGTAGACAGTAATTGACGTCAATGTTTATGTCTGAAATAGTAGTTATGTGGAAACAAGATCAAAGACGGACAGCAGACTCTGCGTAGGCGGATACAATTAGCAGATAGGTGATCTGACACTCAAGAGACAGTCACAAAGAGATGAAAGATTAACTTTTAGTGAGAAACAACCAATCATAAAACTGTGTTTGTCAGCTAACAATAATCTATAATAATGTACACGAAAATCTATAAGCATGTGTTGATTTCCATAATAAACGATCTGTTGCCTGACTCTTGCCTTCTGTCGTTACACCTGCTATACACATGTTTTCCCCTTACGAAGTCTGGAATTTGGGTGGCATTCAAACCAACCGACCAAACCTCTCAGAGATAAACTTTGTCGGCTTAAGGTACCTACAGATCCAGTTACAAACAGTAATGTTATTTAGCATGTAATGACTGTAAGGTTAAGAGAGTCGGTCAAACTAGTAGATCGACGTTGATTAGATATGTGAACATAAGAATTTCAGCTAGACTTATAATGATTGATCCTGCTAAGTTAAATAAACTAGAAAAAAGGTGGACGCTTGCAATCTATTCACCTGAACATAATCACACAACAGGGTCAGATAGAGTGAAATTTTTAAAAAGTGATATAGTTAGGTGCGGAGTGAGATTAACCATGGACTCTTTGTTCTTCGGATCAACAGCGAACAGGTGCTATCGAAAATATTCATTGACTATACCAGATGTATGGAAAATAGCAATAAAGCGATAATAGGAGAGAGGAAGAATATGTGGCACATTATGAAGCCATGTGAAAAAAATTGATATGATTTTGAGGATTAAATTGTTCTCAAAACGACATCCAGTTTGTAATAATGTGTCCAATATCTCCAAGACTGCTTACGTGTTTGCGTTTCCTCATCACATTGATAAGACCCAGCATAAAATAGTATATCATCCTTTCTCACGAATCGTGCGATTTATTTTGTGATTGAGTTACTATGTGAATGTATCATTTCTCAAGCGTATTGTGGTTTAGTTCGTGACCAATTCATCCCGTTTTTTCTCACCTTGATCTTTGTCGGATCACCAAACAACAGCATAGACATTCCAGCAATAAGAAGAGTATTCTTACCAAATATATCCAGTCAAGACCTCATCACTATCATCCAACTGAGCTTCAAATCTTCTCCATCATATCTAAATCTTACGAGCGACACACGCTTCCTTCTGTTCGAAAATGGGAAGACTTCGCCAAAAGGTAAGGATCAACCAGAGAATAATTAGTCTTCCCCCACGAATTCCTTCGTCATCAAATCCTGTCGACCAGTGTCAGATAGAAACCACCAGTCAACTGCCCAATGGGATGGAAATTGGCCGAACAATGTGGGAGACGAATGGTCAAATTGATGATTACAGACACACATTATCGGATCAACAAATATCAACAAATAATAGATGCCCAAAAAGAAAAACTAGAGAAAACCCTTAACCAGGAACACCTGTCAACGCTGATCACTGCAATTACATTGTCAAGTAGAAAACACAGAGAACAAAGACGAAGAGTCCTCAAAACCAAGCTAGCCAAGAATAGAAAACAACAACCAGACAATGCACCTATTGACTGCGTAGTCAACCTATCAAAAATAGAACAACAACTACTACAAAAAGTACTAAACTACAACACTGGAGACGCTTCAAAAACTGATTTCTTCCCTACCCTTGAATCACTACTCAAATCATCAAACTTGAACGAGGAAACACAAGAAGA